AAAACAAAATACCGAATGTTCTCATTATCTTGCTGCCTTTGTGAGCTGTGGCTGCCAGTGTCAGCTGAGCTGTTGGCTGGACAAAGCTACTCCCAGGCCCTCAGGCTGGTCCCGAGGTGCAGTCCCAGTGTGAACATTTGGATGCTGGCACTGCTGACATCACCGCTTTATCTGCCTGGCTCTCCTTTGTCTTGGAAAGGAGCCCTGGCTCTGGCTGCTGAAGGTGTCTTTTGTTTCCTGAAACAAACAAGAAACCGGAGATACCAGGTGGCTTTTTTACAGGTTGGGCCCATCCAGCTGTGTGGAAGGAGTGGATAACCATGACTTGCTTAGGGAGAACATGGCTCTTCAACCCAGCCTGAGTTTGTCTCGCTTTGTGAAGTAGAGATTTTAAGATTTCAAAAGGATTCGCTGTCTGGGTTGTGATAAATTTGTCCGATAAATGTGCCCCGCAGGCTCCGGGGGCCGCAGAGCTGCGCTGTGGCCGCCAGAGGGCGCGCGGGGCCGGGCCAAGGCAGGCCGGGCCGGAAGTGGCGCGAGAGGGGCTGGGGGGCAATGGGGACAGCACAGGGGAACGGCTTCCCGCTGCCAGGGCCAGGCTTGGGTGCGGTGTTGGCGAGGAACCCATCCCTGTGAGGGAGGGGAGGCCTTGGCACAGGTTGTCCAGAGAAGCTGTGGCTGCCCCATCCCTGCAAGTGTTCAAGGCCAGGTTGAACAGGGCTTGGAGCACCCTGGGATAGTGGACTGTGGCAGGGAATGGAACGAGATGAGTTTGAAGGTCCCTTTCAACTCAAACCATTCTAGAATTTTGAGAATTGAATTTCTGTAGGAGATTTCTGCCCTCCTTCTCCTTTTTGGGGGGGTAGAAGAGACAAACCATGACAGTGCAGCCAAGCAGTGGCTGTGGACAGTGGCTTTCATAGGCAGTGCAGTGGGGTCTGATTTGGCACCATGTTAGGCTCAGTGCCAGCGTAGCAACACTGGCCTAATTGGTATAGCACAGCCTCCCACTGCACTCGAAAAGTAGAATTTAATAGTGTTCTGCACTCCATGAGAAAATCCCCTATAAAAACACGTCCTGGTTCCTGTGCTCTGTTCCCCCGTGCGGTTGGAAGCAGCTCTATGTGCTGCTTGCTTTGTGTGCTTTCCCTTTCCTTCCCCAGCCCCACTGCTCTAAGGGGCTCGTTTCCAGGGTGAGCAGCAAGTCATGGCTTGGCAAGGAAAATGCTGCTGGAGGCTCTGTGGTGATCCTGGCTGGCTGATCAACCCCCTCTCCCCAGGAAGGCAGAGTTAGGCAGGGATCTGGGGCTGGACCTTGATCCTTGAGAGGACTGTAACCAGCCTTTGTCACGTTTTTTGTTGAAATTCAACCAAAATTATGAAAAAACCTGCCCTTCTCCCCTCCAGCTCTTTGGTCTTAACATTAACTCTTGGAAACTGAAGTGGTGATTAGGAAAATAAATAGGGTCCCTTCTTGCAGGGAAGACGGGTTTGTTCTGCCCAAGCATTGAAGGTTGCAGGGGTTAAGTTACATTTAGCTTTGGGAGAGGAAAGGAAAATCTCTCCAAGTAATTAACTTCGATGCTGACACTAATGAAGGGGCTTTCAAGGCTGGAATTCGTGGGGGGATGATGGGAATCCCCTGCTGAATCAATGACATTAGGGTTGTAGGAGTGATTCCGCAGTTATTACGCTGAAATTATGTTGAACATGGAGTTAATCCTGTTATCTCTCAGATAACTGAGCAAACTGAGTGCTCTGGATAACTCTAATGGGATTATATGTGTCAGTCTGGCACCCTTGCCCTGTTCAGAGCTTTTTCTTATGTTCCTTCTCAGGATAAAGTATTGATCAGGCTTCCTAGAGTTAATGTTGGGAGGTGGCGTCTGGGGCAGCGTGTTGTGGCAGTGCTGGGTTATTTTTTAATGAGTTTGACAATGAACAGCCTGTTGCCTCCTGAAACCATTCACTCCTCCACAGCAAGGATCCCTTAAGCCCATCCCTAAACAGATATTTAGGAAAAGAACTGAAGAACAAGGAAAAGTTTAAAAGGAGACCTCCCTGTGTCACACCTTCCTGGCATCAAGGATCTGCCATTGAGTGAGACGATGTCGTTCTATGATGGAGACTACTCTGGGCCATCATATTTGTAGAGAGTAATTAGTTCTGGCTTGAAAATTACACTTTACACCTGTGATAGCCTGTGGTGATTGTTCTAAACACAAGTGGGGTGGGGTGCTAAAAGGGATTATCTGTAGCTTGGTTTTAAGCAGTGGGATAAATTGCAAGGTAAAACCAGGAACCAAAAGGACCCTGGAAGGGAGACAGAAGAGCCGTAGTTGAGGCGCTGGCTGTGGCCATTCCAGCCAGGTCGTTTTCCTGCTGGGCACGGACCTGCAGGCTGTGCTGGCCTACCTTCTGTGCAGGGTTGGAATGAGCTGGAATGGTGCTGGTGCTGCCACTGCCAGGGCAGGCTCCAGCAGTGGCTGCAGCAGCACAGAACACAGGGACTGCAGGTGACCACGTGCAGTGGAGAGGTGAAGCCCTACACGCCAGTGAGAACTAGAATTTGGGTTTCAAAGTCATGGAAAACGTTTTTCTCTGCTCATTTACCACTAAACCGGGCCTCTTGGTTTCAGCATCGCCAGAATATAGAAGTGATACTTATAACACCCACTAAATGAGCAGATGTTTTTGTGCCAAACCAGAAATCTCCATAAATACAGGAAAGTTCTGTTATTAAAGGATAAGTCAGCTTTTCGTTTCCAAGCTTTGATTCTCTCTCTTTTTTTTGTTTTTTAAGGACTGATCTTGTTAAGAACTGCAGATTTTTTGGTGAGGTTTTATTTTTATTCTTTTCTGTTCCCTTGAGGAAGGTGAGAATTGTTTTGGAAGATCCAAGGAGCTCATTTACTGCAGAAACAGCCCTCAGGGTTGCTAATGACAAAGTGTCTGGGCTGTCTCAAAGAAGGCACCCAGAGGATGTGGGGGCTGGTGTAGCCACGGGCCACCTGGGATTTTGGACCAGTTTAAGTGCCCAGAGGCCAGCCAGCCCTGCTCTTGATAAGGTGACAGATTTAGATGGCATTGCAGTAGCCTGTAATTCCAGGGACCTCAGGGGATAATTCTCACTGCAAAGGAGTCAGCACCTTCCACAAGCTTTTTGAGATGGGAATTCAGCACAAGAGAAAATCCCGGATTTCAAACCCAAAGTGCAGAGAGAAACAGTTTAATATCTGTTTATACACCATAATTTTTGCGTACCACACTGCTGCTGGTTCTGTACAGACACAGGATGAAGGGAATGAGGTGAAATGAGGAATCTGGGAATGTGTGAAGGGTTATTCCTGCAAGAGAGGGGAGCAACTCAGGGAGAAATAGCTTCCTACAAGGTTAGGATTCTGTACCTTCAGAACTGTTGGTGTTATCTCATCTCTTGACGTTTCCTTTAATTCTATGCAAGGACCTTGACACTGTAAACAATTCCCATGGCCTTGTCCCTGCACTCCTGTGAGTCAGTGTGATGCATAAACAGCGTTGGGTTTGGGGGGCTCAAGGTCTGCATGGTTTGGGACACAATCATCCTGTCTGATTTTTGTGCCTTCTTCCTGGATGGCTTTTGGTGGCTGTGGCTGCCACCGCCTTGTTTTCCCAAGTTCCCTTGGTACTGGCAGAAAATAGGAGCATCTGGGATTGGGATTTCAGGATCAGGCTGAGGGGGCAGGTGGAGTGCTCTCGTTTTGTTTTCAGCTCCTTTGGGCCTCCATAATTATCTCCCCAGTTCCAAAGGGGAAGAGCGGAATGTTACACAGCGCAACCCCAGCACTGCTTTATTCACATTAGCAGCAATGTTTTACTAGGTTTCTGTCTTCAGCCTGGCTGCTGCTCAGAGATCCCTTGGTGGTTGAGCAAGGGTCAATATCTGGAGTGGAAGTTCACTCCCTGTCTTGCTGATGGCTCTTGTCTGGGTGTGACCTGAGGTCTGGCTGTGCCACTGTTTAGGGTGGCCCATGGCAGATCTATGTAACATAATTTGGGCAGATGCACTTCCTAAGCGTTATCTTGTTCCTTAAATAGAGAATAAAGCTTGTATCAACATGAATCACAGAGTTGATAAACTGGAATGGTTCCTCTTGGAGTTGTCTTCTTGTATTGGGCAAATATTTATCTGCGTTGTTTCCAAAGGCATATTTGTGCAATAGAAGGAGGTCAGACCTGTAATTACCTGTTAGGTTTACTCTGGCAGAAATGGCTTGTAAAAACACAGTACAATTGAAAGGAAGCTTTTAAACCTTCTCTCTGTGTGCGAACCTAAAGCTGCGGTTTAAAATTTCAAATGTTGTGAGAGTTTTCAGTGGCAAGGGTACAAAAAGTATTTTCCTTGCTGAATTTAAGTGCCCCAAGTGAAACTGATCCACCCTTTCTTTTAATTCCTGAGCTGTGGCAGGGAATTTGGGTTTCTGTTCCAACTGTATCTGCGGGCGATGATCAGAAGCTGAGGTTGTGTGCCAGACTTGCCTTGCATTTTAATCAGGAGCTCCTCGCCTAGTCAATAATTAAAGCAGAGCAGGTGCAGAAAATTGGGTGTTCCCCAAAAACTGAACCAAGGCGCTTTTGTAAGCTTCCCTGAGCAGAGCCAGGCGAGTGAGGGGTGGTAGGATGCCCTGGCACTGCCTGGCTTGTGCAGTAATTTGGAAAAAATGTAACTTCAGACTGTAGAGCTGGAGGTGTTGAAGGATAATTTGGATTATTGGTGCGGTGGGGCTGCTGCAAGCCCGTTGGGTTGGCAGAGCAAAGGTGTTTGCTGCAGTTTCAGCTTTGGGTATGAAGAGCAAATCCATCTACTGAGATTTTTGTGAAACGTTTAAAAGAGGAAGCAACTTTCACAGAGGAATCTTGCTGCTTTTCTTTCCAATTACTGTGTGAGCAGAGAGGCTTGCAGCTGAAGTTTGACATCTTGAAGGATTAGAGGTAGGAAGAGGAATTTGGGATCATGAGTCTGTGGACTTTGACCTATACGCTGAAGACTGACTTAGAGTTAAATATACTCCTCCCTCTCAGGGTTAATTGCAATTTAATCTGAATTTAGAGGTTTCATATTTACTATATTTTTGCTGTTAGCTTTTGTTGTTAACTAGCAGTGTTGTGCAAAACAGAGTTTGTCCCATGGGTTTTATAAGTGGCATAGATGTACTTACTCTGCTGGAGGACTTATGTTGGATAATGTCTGCACAGAGCTGTGAAGTCTTTAAGAGTTGGGTTTGTCCTGTAAGGCTGTTTGTGATGGATGTGACTGTGCAGCAGCCGCTCTCTTGGGAAGAGCACTGTGTGCTGTGCTGGGCCAACTCTAAAAACTCGTGCTGGGCAATGCTTTGGAAGGAGGGGAATAGATTTTGATTTTCTTCATCCTTGTGTTTTGAAATGGGGGGCCTCAGGTGATGTCAGTTTATACATTTTTCTCTGAATATCTTGAGTTTTTGCTGCAGGAGAGGGTTAAACAAGAGTTAAGCTAAATGCCATTCCTGTTTTTTCTGTAAACAATGCAATAATTAATGTAATTTTCTTGTTCGTGTTTTTGCCTAATGCGTTCCTAATAATGTAGCTGGAAGTGGCAGATGGGTATCCTGCCTCTTAATGCTTCCCTGTTGGGAACATGCTGATGCTTTGCTAATGCCTGATGCTTTGCTGGAATGTATCCTATATGTGTGCTTCCTTTGGCTTCTGAACAGACTTTCTTTTAATGCTGCTTCAAGGTGCTCCAAAAAGTTGTTCATCAGCTTTGGAGTTTCCCTTGCCTTGAGATGGCAAAGCCATGAATCACCATAGTGATCAAATTAGGGTTAGTCAAGTCAGCCAAGATGTGACTGAATCTTTAATTTTGTCAAGATGACATTCCTCAGCATTCCCTCACTAGTAAACAAGAAAATACTTGGCCTGTGTTGTAATTGCAGGGAGTGGTGAGGAGACGGTGAGGCTTTTCCAGTACTGGGTAAAGCTTACTTCCAATGGAAGTTGTATTTCCCCTGGAAAATGAGGCTGGGGGGTATTTTTGCCTTAAGCTCCTCTGGGCTCACAGCCCAGTTTAGTTACAACTTTTGAGCCCATTCCTTGTGCTCCAGCTGTGACCACAGGGCTCTCCAGGAGCACGGCCTCACCTTCCCAAAGGTGGGGCTGCAGGTGCTGTCACTCAGCTCCTTGGCACAGCAGCCTCTGTCGTGGCCAGCATCTGGACTGCTGTGGGACATGGCATGCTCACCTGCCCAGCACAGGGGTGGTGGCCCCGAGCCCCTGGCATGCTGGACCTGCTGCCCTTCGCTGTCTGAGGTGGAGCTCCGTGCTGACTAACTGGAATGCTCTGGGAAATAGGAGTTTCCCTCTTGGAAATGTCACAGGAAGCACGAAGGAAGTCATGTGGTGTAGGAGCAGTCCAGCTCCCATTTGTCTCATCAGAACCATCAAAGTCTGCAGGACGCAAACAATGTGATGCCAGCTGCCTTATAAATAACCCATTTTCCACTTCCACACTGGCCTTTCATTCCATGTGAGGGGAAAGGAAGAGCGTCACGTTGTGCTCATTTGTTCAGAGTGACTCCCTGCCTGCTGCCCTTGGTGATGGCTGCGCTGCTCAGAAGGGTTCCTCTCTCTGGGCAGACACAGCTGTTATGTGATCATGTAAGATTTTTTCATTTTCTTCTCCCAAAGCTGAAAACAAAAACTGTGGTGAAACCAAACTGATTAGAGGGCTGAAGCACCACTCCTGAGAGGAAGGGCTGAGGGAGCTGGGGTTGCTCAGCCTGGAGGAGAGAAGCTCTGGGGTGACCTAATTGTGGCTTTTCAGTACCTGAAAGGGGCCTGCAGGAAAGGTGGAGAGAGGCCATTCACAAGGAGTGACAGGACAAGGGGGGGTGGCTTCAAACTGACAGAGAGTAGGGTTAGATGGGAGAAATTCTCCCCTGTGAGAGTGTTGAGGGAGTGGAATTGATTTCTCAGAGAAGCTGTGGCTGCCTCCCCCTGGAAGTGATCCAGGCCAGGTTGGACAGGGCTTGGAGTAACCTGGGATAGTGGAAGGCATCTCTGCTCATGGCAAGGGTGTAGTGAGATAAACTTTAAGGTCCCTTCCAACCCAAACCATTCCATAATTCCATAAAACACATCCAGAGTCATGGTGCTGCCCTTCTCCTCCTCCCTGCTAGCCCTCCTGGTGAGGTGGTCCCTGCATGAGGATTTTAGTGGGTGCATCTCCCCCAGTGAAAGAGCCCTACAGGCCCTGTAGCTCCTGCTGGCTCTCTGCTGATGAGCTCTGAGGAGAACGCCCAGTATCACTGGTTTAAACAGCTCCATCGGCAGGGATGGGATAATGCTGGAGTCCTTCTTAATGTTCCTGTGGCTGAATCATGGAACACAAATGTCTGAGTCACCGTGGGTGAATGTAGCATTTCACGTCGGTGTGAACCGAAATGTGAACAGCACTGCCTTTATTAGAGGAGCTAATATTGGGCTCATGGGTTTCATTAGATTTTAAAATGAAACAATACAGAAGAGTTCCTTTTACAATGTATATAAACAGATTATGAACATGGAAATGCCAGGGGTTTAATGGGATGCTGGGCTGGATGGAGAGGAAATGAAACTTCAGAAGAAGGCCATGTACCCCATGTTTGAGTGTTTGCTGCCTGTTTTTTTTTTTTTTATTTCAGCCATCTGCCTCTCCTTAAATCACATAAAATTTTCATGTAACTGGTGTTTCTTCGTTACTGTATTTTAAAAGAAAATGCTGAAGGGACAATCAGCTGTTTCCCATTTTGCTCTCCTTTAGAAAGCTTTTTGCTATTCCAACTTTTTCGTCTTAAGAAAGTCATCACCTGTCCCTGAGGAGTAAAACAGTTGCTCTGGTTTCTTCTGGTTGCTGTGCAGCAAAGTCAGATGGTCTTTCTCATTATTATGGGAATTTTTGCCTTTTATTACTCTTCCTTGCTTGAAGTGTTGGCTTTCCTTTATCCTGGATGTCCAGTGGGACAAGGGCAGGTTGCTTTGTCCTGTGTTTTTCCCCAGGGGTGAAACAAAGCCCTCTGAAAGCAGAGGGTTTCTTAGGAGCTGCCCTCATGCTCTGACCTCAGGCTGCAGCTGAGGCGGGGACATTTTTTGATGTTTTGTTTTCTGGGACAGAATTTGCACCTTTCCTTTCAGATGTGGAGCTGAAGGATGGGCTGATGGGTTTTTCTGGCCTTGAGTTCCCTTGAAGATAATGATGCTGGTGTTACTTTTGGGTTTGTGGTGCTTTGTGCATGTTGTCAGCTGTTTTCTGGTGGGGTTTTGCTTTCTCCCCTAAAAGAGCAGAGGGTGGCTGGTACTCCTGAATGATGCTTAAGGCCAGAGCCAGCTGCAATTTGAAAAACAGATTTGTATCTCTTTGCTCCTGAGGCACCACAGACCTACTTTAAATGAATAAATAAAGATTTTCCTGCTTCTCTGTTGTAGGGTGTATAGGGTAAATGAGCTGCAGGTTCACAGAAGTCCTTGCCCAAATTATAGTGATAAGTGAAGGAATCCAAATGGACATATTTAAACTTTGGAGATCTTTTATTGTGAGGCAGATGGCTGAGGGGGATGTTTGTTACCTTAACCATCAAGTTGTGACACATGAATAGAAACTAAACTTTTACTTTCCTTGTTAAATTTAAATTTTCCATTGTTAAATTTAAATTACAAGAGAAGACATGCTACCTGGTAACTTTAGTGGAGAGGGGAATTGCATGAAATTGTATTTTTACATTTGGCTAGATGCATATCAGCTCAGGCTGTCTTTGAAATTCCCTTTGCTCGGGGGTAATGCAGCTCCCACAGCACTTAGAGAGCGGCTGTCTCATCCCTGACTGCCTTAGTTTGTGTTTAGCTGGCACAGGTAGGCTGGAAATTCCTTCATCCCATTTTGGGAGGTGAAACCCCTTGGTGTGTTGCTGTGCATGGATTCTCCAAGCCCGTCCCTGAGAAGAACACTCTGCTCTCCTTCTCCTCGCTCCCAGCTTTCCTCTCCTCTTGCTGAACGGGATGCGAGGAAGGAGCGAGGGGTGTTGGTAATTTGGATTGTGCAGCTCAGTGGCTGGATCCTGGCTGCCTGTCTCCTCCCCTTCCTGAGCTTCGCCCTAGCCAGCTCGGCTCTGGAATGACAGGCATTCCTGCGTGAAGGGAGCTGGCACGGACACTTATTTATGAGAATCAAGTGCCTAGGCATGGGGCACAGGGCGAGCAGGACCTGTGCCGGACCATCGGACACCGTGGCCTGAGAGCTGGGAGTGCCTCCTGACCAGCCTCCTTCCTCATCCGGAGTGTGGATTTACCGTTTAGAGGGTGAAGTGTTCTCCGCGTAGACTTTTCCTCTGTTCTCCTCCCACCTCTTCCCGGAGAGCGCTCCGAACAGGATCCCATGGGGCAGCCGCACTTCTCGAGACCGGTAAATCCAGGTGCTCTTGGTGAGTAATGCAGGGCAGGGGAGACCAGGGAGCTGTGGGGCTGCAGCAGGCCAGCACTGCAGGTGAAACTGCAGGAGCAGTTGGGAGGAGTGGAATGTGGAACTTGTGTAACCTGCGCCCAGCTGGGGAGAGAAACTAGAGAAATAACTCCATTTCCTTCCATTCTCTTACTGATTTCACGTGCAATCACTGTGCAACACGTCCTCTGGTCTTCAGACAGGCTCCAAGCTGCTGTTCTAAGGAACAGCCTCTGGCTGGCGTGGATTTCAGGGATACTGCATTTGCAAAGCACTTGGACAGTGGGAATGTTCACCTGCATGGGCCAGGAGTCAGCCCTGATAGTGAGCTGGGACCAAAGCCACCAAGAATTGCCTCCCTGTGATTGATGTCACCCATCTTTTGGGGCAGCTGCAGCAGTTTCAGGGGCAGAAGGGCTTGGCAATCATCTCCCTGCTTGTTTTCCCTCTCCATTGTGAAGTATCTCAGTAACAGGCTGGAGAAAACACGACTGCGTAAGCTCTAGGAGCAGCCCTGCTTCCCGAGTGCTGTGTGGGGTCGGTGTTGCTCCAGGTCTGTCGTGGGTGCTGTTCCCAGCACTGGCTGTGAGGAGATTTTCCACATCCCGCTGCTGCCTTTCTCTCATTCCCACTTGCTGTTAGCTGGCTGGGCTCAATTGTTCACCCTCATCTGTAAAGTGGAATTTTCTGATTTTCAGAGAAGAAATGGACGTTGGCAGACAAAGATCACCCTCAAGATACAGACTATTATCTTCATTATTTTTCACTTCTGTAACTTTGACCCTATCAAGCATTTCTAGGGCTCAGATTAAACCAGTGATTCTCTTCCCCACCATCAGTTCACTGCAGCTAGTCTGGTTCAAGAGTTGCTAAAAATAATGTGATAGAGTGGAAGGGAAGTAAAACTTCAGTTGTCTTTGTACTGTGGAGATTAACAGCATCTTCTGCTTGAATTTACTTACTGTTAGAAGCTGACCTGGTCAGTCTTAGGCTCTTTCTCTCATCAAATGCCAAGAACAGCGGTAATTTCCAGGGAAGTGGGCTTGGTGTAATGATATTGTGCTTTCTGGAGATTGGGGCCAGCAGACCTGGTGTTTCCTCAACTGCTCATTTGCTCCCTGAAGTCTTTTTTCATGGCACAGCTCTCAGGGTTCCTACTGATTCAGTCTGGAACTTGAAGAGATGGTTCTTGCATTAACTGTGTCAGGATGCTGTTAAGGAGAGTCCTGTGAAGATTATGGTGATTAGAAACATACAAAACACAGGGAAGCTGAGGGCTGGGACTGTTTGAGGCTGCTTTGTGACCACAACCTTTCATTCCTTTAAGGTCAGGATTCACTTCTTCCCTGGACCATTCAGGAAAATGCACACAAGTTTTTAAAGCTGTTTTAGGGAAGTATAGAAACATTTACCCCAAGTGCTTTTTTGGATACTTTTAACAGCATTTCACTCAAAGAGTGTTTGCTTTTTGAGTTGTTGCTGTTTGCTTGGAAGCTTCTCGGATTCTTGACTGCTCTGCTGGACACAGCAGGGTGGGAAGGGAAGGGAGTTGGGTCCTCTCCAGCCTGTGCATCCACAGCGTGGTGGCAACAAGAAGGCTCGTGGCAGGTGCCGTGGTGCGGGCTGGGAGCTGTGGGGTCCTGCTGGAGCCACAGGTACCGGTGTGTTCCGGGTACCTGAGGGGTGTGAGGAGCAGCCATGTTCCCTGCAAAACTTCCCCTGCACCTTGCGGGCATGCTCAGTGGAGAGCTTCCGGCGTATGTGTTCCTTAGGGAAGGAAATAAGGGTGAGTAAGAAGAGTTGCTGTGCTGAAGTACCTCATTTGCCCAAAGACAGAAATGCCCAGCAAGTTCCTTATGAACAGCAGCTCCTGGCATTTGTGGGGATCCTGTAGTAGCTGCTACAAGAAGAGATGGATCAGGTTCTGGGTGAACTCTGGTTTGTGGATGGAAGGAGTCTGGCCCAAGCTCCAAGTGCTGGAGCAGGTGACACCTCACTGCAGCCACTTGCTGAGGATGGGAGAGACCAACTGTGGGTCTCTAGCTCCTTCCACTGAAATGGTTTCTCTGTTTTGGGAAAAACAAAAAAGACTGGGGTCACTCAACACCACAAGATGCAGTGGAAAAGGAGCTTTTTTCTGCATGAAATTTAAGTGCAAGATTTAAGCAAAAATATGTCTGCAGGGGAGAGTTGGAAGGACCAGGTGGCCAGGCAAAGCAATTGGGAATTGCATTCCAAGTTGCTTGGCACTACTGGAGCTTCCTGCCTTCTTGTGTGTTCGGGCTGTGCCAGTTTTATGACGTTTCCCTAGATTATTTCAGTCTAAACATTTTGAGTTAACATAAATCTGCTGTTTTAAACAGCTCAAATTCACCTGCTTGTTTGGATAGAATGAGATCAGAACAGCTTAAGTGTTTGGGAGAGGGGATTTGAAATGGCAGGAGGCTCTGGCTGGGAGGCAGCTGGGGCATCACGCAGTCCCTGGACCATCTGGGTTCTGAGCTCCAAGGGTTCCAGGCCGTCTCCTCTGGCAGCATCAGGCAGCATGCTGAAGTTGCACCGCGTATTTTATTCCTGATTTTTCCTCAACCAGGGCTCTGTTGGAACATTAAGCACAGCATCCAGCTGTCATGGTGGGCTCTGTGGGTCGTTTTTCCAAAACGTGGACTACTGCTTCCAGAAGGCTTGAACAAGGTCCTGCTTTGGCGTGGGGTCACTTTAGGGACCTGCCAGCTAGGAATCTCTGACCTTCTCATGAGGACTCTGCTGGCTTCACCCAGGGCTGTGTGACCTCATTTAACATTTTCCATGTATTTGAAATGGGTTTTCCACCACGGTGAGGGTGAGGCTGATCTCTTGGACACAGCCTTGCTGCTGGGCCAGGTCGGGTGAAGGCATCAGATTCCTGGTGCTTCCCACCCTTCCCTCCAAGTCTGGGTCCTTATGTATTGCCCTATTTTGTTCCCCTAGCATGGCATTGTGGTTCCTTCCCGGTTTTTCAGTGCATAACTCGGATAAGGAAGGGTTTCCCCCTTGCATTGCAAAGCAGCTTAAGGACCCTCCTTGTAGAGCAGAGCAGAAGGAGGCACAGCCTCAGCAAGGTGGATTCTCTGCCCTCACAGGGAAGAGATGTCCTCTCTGCACCATTTCGTGGAAATTTCAGCAGAAAATTGGCTGTGAATGCAAGGGAAGGTCCGTTTTGGAGGGAGTGTGAGCACTATCTAAAGTGAACAATCATTGAACAATAAGGTTATTTGAATGCAAATCTGTGAATCTCACCTCCAGCTGCTGATCCACCCGCTCATTAGTCCTCAGTGTCATAATTGCCTCACAACAGACTGCTTTAGATGTCTATGTCCCTGTGGTAATTGGGGATGGGAAAAGGAAGAGTGCTGTGGAAGGGTAGGACAGGCTCTCCTGTCCTCTGCACAAGAGGACAGAACGAATCCCAGTAAGGATCAGGGAAGGAGTTGCTTCCCTGGCTGCAGTGTGAGCAGTGGGCTGGAATGGTCTCAGAATGTTTAGTAACGTGTCAAGTTTTAGTCTACACAGAGCAAAAGGGTGGTGGAAATTATGTGGACAGTGTTGTGTTCTAGTGTGCATGTGTCCCCCTCTTGCCTGGCTGCTTTTGTGCATGGAAGTGATTATAAATGAACAAAACCAAGTGTTTCCATGTTGGACAACACCTGACTCCCAGCAGGAGCCTGTGAGCAGCTGTACCACGGCCGAGGGAGCAGTGAGGCAGAGAAGCAGGACCGGGTGATTTGCTCTTGATGTGAAGGTCTTGTGAAACCTCCTGTGTTCACCTGCGTGCTTGCCGCTCTGGCGGTGAAACTCCACCCTGGGAAGGTATTTGCTTTGACAGCTGGACCTGGGCTGCAGGAGCTGCTGGAAGAGGTCTGGCAGGAGTAGTCACATGTGGGTTCTCCCCACCCTCTCTGCTCTTAGCTGCTCCTCCTTCGGAGGTACTGTGTGTCTCCTGCCGTTCTGGCTGGTCCTTTCATGTCCTGTGCTCCTCCCTGGCTGTTACAAGGGGACTGTGGCAGGGGAATGCTCGTCATTCTCCTTCTAACTGGAAATGGAGATGTTCCAGGGTGCTGAGGGCTCTTCATTAATCCCTGGAGCTGATGGTTGAGTTTTCTTTTAATAACTTACTTTGCTTAGTGCAGCATTCTGCCATCTTGGGTGGTAGGCAGCGCATTAGTGACATTCCTCAGAGCAACCAGAGAAGGGGTAGATATAAGGCAAGCTTGGTACGGCTGCCTTCAGCACTGTTCTCCTTGGAAAGGTGAGGGAAATGCCTTTGACACTTGGGCTTCAGATTCCACCTACAGCCTGTGCTTGGCAAGCGCTCGTGCCTGCCTGGTGAAGTTTGGGAATGCTCTGTTGAGCACAGTGAATACTGCTTGTTAAAATTGCATGTACGACTCCAGGGCTGCAGTGCTCCTGTCTCTAGTGCTGAAGCTGAGGGATTCTGGCTCTGGAAATCCTGCCATGGAGTGGGCACCAGATGGCTTCACTTTTAGCTTGTGCACACTGATTTTTATTTTTTTATTTTTTTGCAGGCAGTGTGTTAGATTCTGCTCATTGTAAGTTCTTCTCTGTGTTCCATCAAATACCCTAAAACAGCAACATCAGCCAAGGCAGAATCAATAGTCCCCAAATTAGTGTTTTCTGCTCTGGTTCTGCTTCAGAAGTGGGGTTTTTTTGAGTTGGGGATGGGTTTTTTTTTTGCTTGGTTTTTTCGCATGTCCCTTCCCGCCTCCATGTCCTCCTTGTGCTTCTCTCCAGAGACTCCTGCAGTAGGTGGAGCACAGGCCTGTATTGTGTCGCTTTCCTGTGGAGTTGTTGCTCTTGGCCAGCTTTGCTGCCCTTATTTATAGAAGGAAAATCAGGGAGGGGAAAATCTAGCACATCCAGCTGATGGAATGGGTCGTCTGGTGATTTTGGGGTGCGGAGAGTTGTGAATGCCAGGTCAGTGGGCAGGAAGGTGTTTGTGGTCATGAACTTGTGTCCAGCACCAGCTGCTTCCAAATGAAGATGAGAAAATGTAGGGAAGTGGTTTGTGTTCATGGGCAAAGCTGTGACACTGCAAAATTAAATTAATATGTGGCTGAGAGAGCTGGGGGGACTCAGCCTGGAGAAAAAGGAGGCTCAGGGGGACCTTCTCACTCCCTTCATCTCCCTGACAGGCAGGTGCAGGCAGGTCGGGGTCAGGCTCTGCCCCTGGAGAACAAGGAGCAGAACAGGAGGAAACAGCATCAAGTTGTGCCAGGGAAGGTTCAGGTTGGCCATCAGGAGGAATTTATTCTTTTAAAGAGTTATCAGTCCTTGGCACAGTCTGCCCCTTGCCCTGAAGGGTGTCCAAGGAACAAATGGACATAGCACTCTGTGCTCTGGGCTGGTGACAAGGTGGAGGTTGTTCATAGATTGGATTCAACAATCATGGAGGTCTTTTCCAGCCTTAATGATTCTGGGGTTCTGTAATCTTTGTCTCATCAGGAAGGCCTTTACCAGCTTCCCTTTGCCCTTTTTATGTTGAGAAGCCCACTTGTGTCTCGCCAAGCTGATGTGAGGGCTCAGTGGAGCCACAGACAGTCTTGTTCCCTTTTCTGCATGAGTGTGTGCCACCATTCCCAGTGTGGGGTGGGTTGGTGGGAGATGGGAGCTGTTACTTGCAGCACAGAAGTAATTCGTTATTCTTTTCCTTCTTTTCTGTGCAGCTGAAGACGGGGATCACGCCCCAAGTGATGCCAGCATGGGGGTAGATGTTTTGGAGTCAGGTGACACCACACCTCCGACAAAGAGGAAAAGCAAGTTCTCAAGCTTTGGCAAGATTTTCAAACCCTGGAAGTGGAGGAAAAAGAAAAGCAGTGACAAATTCAAGGAGACTTCAGAAGGTAAAGTGACAGGGGCTGGGTGGGTGTCCCTGCCTCCATCCATCTGAGAAGGGCTTGCTGTCACAAGCCTGAGTGCTGACACGTACAAGAACCAAAATGGGACTTTGGTGGTGGGCTGGCACCTGCAATCTCTCCAGAAATACCTTGCCATGGAGCTGTAGTTTCAGACAGATTAATTCCTTTCTTTCAAGGAAGTTCCCCAAGCAGCTATGAGGAGGGAGGGTTTGCTTCACAATCAGCAGTGCAGTGTGAAGTGCAGGTCTGAACATGTAGTTCCTTCTCTCTCCTCTTAATCCATGCAAAACCAATGAAATTTGAAGCCATTTTATTTCCTCTAGAGAACCTCTTTAAAAGAAAAAAACCAACCTTCTTGAACTTCAAGCTTGCCCTGTTTTCTGAGTGCTTTTTTTCAATTTAATATCAGTTTTAGAACGAAAGATTTCTATGCGAAAGCCAAGAGAGGAGCTGGTAAAAAGAGGGGTTCTGTTGGAAGAGCCTGAGCAGGGTGAGTCTGCAAACAAACTTCTGTGTCTGTGTTGCTGATCTTCCTCTGGCCAAACCTCACCCTTGGGAGACAAATCTAAGGGCTTTCTGCTGAGGTGATTCCTGCCTGCCTTACCCTTCTCAATGCTCTCTCTTGTCTGTTTTCCCACCTGGGAGGAAGGCAGCCTGTTCAGGGAGGAAGATGGTGCTGAGGAAGCGCAGTGCCTGTCTGGAACACCTTCCTGCAGGGAGGGAGGGCTGTGCTGTGGTCCCTTCCCATCCTGTCCTTCTCTGTGCTGTCCTGCCAGCCTCTGCTGTCACACTGTCCCTCACCATCTCCTGCTGTTCCAAATGGGAGAGGTTCTGCCCCCGGGGCTCAGGCTGGGAGAGCAATCATAAATGGGTGAATTCTGAGCTGCTTGGGTAGGGGCATATCTTCCAAGAGATGCTTCATGGTATGGTATCATAGTCACCACTAGGCTTATTAAAGTTTGCACCGCTGTCTGGGAAGTCTTATCCCCTTTTCTTTCATCTTTGATGTCTCCAAGTTGAGATCATGCTGACAAAATAAGTTGTCAGATCACCATCCGCTCACCTGGCTGGGATTTGTGTGATGTGGAAAAGTGGTGAGGAAAGCTGGATCATACTGCTCCCATGTCCCTTGCTAAAATTTTGGATAACCAGAGGCCGTTGCTGCCATAAAAATCTGTGTCTCATCTCTTGAGTTTCAGCCCTGGCTGAGGAGGAAACTCCCTCTTGTTGCTGTTTGTGCCGGCTGCATTTCAGGGAAGGGCAGTGAGTGAGCGAGGCAGCGCTGTCTACCAGCTCCTCACAGGAACTGAGGCTGCTTCTTGTGGAAAAGAAATCCTGGGAAGCTTCTGAATAACACCAGGTTAGGGAAGGGGAGGTAGCACTTTGAAGGGAGAGGAAAAGTGAGGAGGGCAGTGGAATAGATTGTCAAAAATCAGAACAGCAGAGTGTGCTGGGGTCCAGCACCTGGAGAGCATGGATGCCACACACTCCAATTCCATCAGAGATGGCAGATGAATTGAAAAGGATCTTTAATCAAATGGATGATGTATTTATTTAAGTTTTCTTGAGTTGAAATTCAGTCCCAATAGGCAATTCCCCCTCAGAGGTGGATGCTGAGTCTTTTTTTGAGAGTAATACTGTCAAAAATTTGTCCTGTCAGGGCAATTACTGAGAATGGTGGAGTATTTCCTCATGGGGATTAGGAGTTTCAGGGCCCTCAAAAGCATGGGTTGGATTGGATGGGGTTTTTTCCAAAAAGAGGTCTTGCTTTAACACTGGGAACCTCCATGCTAGAATTTGTAAAAGCAGAAGTATTTAAAGTGAGCTACATAAAATTCTGGAGCTGTGTCATTACATCTTACTGAAACAAAGGTAAAGTGAGGAAATCTGCCTTGCTGATGTTTTGGATTGAGCAGCAATTTTTGTGCCAAATTCAGGGTAGAAATGAGGAAAACAGAGGTGCTTCCGCTAATCTGAAGACTTTACAAAAGTCCCTTATTGCACATGCAGTAGATGAGTCGGCTCGTGCTGGAATCTGCATTGCTGCAGGGAGTTGGTGACTGCTCTGTGGTGGAGGGTGGATACAGAAGCTACTGGAGATTTATGGCTTCAGTTAAAGCTTCCTTGTGCTGCAGCATGGCACTGGGCACACTAATCTGTAACAAAAGAGCAAGGGCAGGACAGGGAGAAGAAAAGCCCTTGATAGCATACAGTGCTGTGTGATTTAGTCATTGATAATGAAATCAAGGGCTCTCAGCTCCAGCTGGTTGGGTTGCTGTGCTGTCCTGTGCAGAGGTGGCTGAAGCTCCTTCAGAAGCCAGAAGGAAGTTGGTGTGGTTGCATGATGGTTGAGTCAGCCCAGCCACCTCTCCTCTCCCCTGCCTTCTAAGTGTTTTCTCTTTGCTTCTGTGTCCTCCTGTCCCCTTGCAGATGGTGAAGAGGCAGAGAAGCTGAACCCACCTGCGCTGAAGAATGGCCACACTGTCCCTATTGGGGGCCCTGGGGTCTGTAACCTGCCCAGCCAGGAGGAAGAGGCCACAAAGCCACCCAGCCTTAGGAAGCCTGTTCCAGTGGAGGAGCCAAAGAGGCAGGGTAAGAAACCAGACGTGTGCAAAATCAGGGCTCTCCTGTAACCAGTTCTAAATTCTCATCTGATCCTTCCCACCCTCAGTGGACCCTCTGGTGCCTTAAACTGAGCTGCCTCCCTTTGCAGGCTCCTCCAGCAGCCACCCTGGGCCTGAACTGGAACCACCTCAGGAGCCACATGTTCCCAGACAACCTCTTCTTCCTCCAAAAAGACCTCCCTCCACTTCCCAGGAGGCAAACGAAGTACAGGCAAAGGATCCAGTACCTGCCAGCAGCACTGCAAAAACTGCCCCCTTCAGCACAGCCCCCACGGCAGCAAAGACAGTCAATTCCACAGCTGCCCCTTGCCCAGCCCCCAGGACTCTGCTCCCTGCTCCTGCCAGTGCCAACACTACTGCTCCCACCAGTACACCCAGCACAGCTGCTGCCAAACAGCCTCCCGTTCCTCCTCCCAAACCTGCCAACAGAAACAGCAACTCACTCATAGGTAAGTGACCCCACAAACTGGTTTTTGTACCCTGAGATGTTCTGGAGCCGCTGCTCCAAGACGCTCTTCCCTTCATAAGGAAAGATTTTTATTTGCATCTGAATGTCTGACCATCTTTCCTGAAAACAGTCCAGTTTGGACTCAAATCTGCCAGTGTTTAGCCAGGACACACGTGTTCTGGGAACAGTGTAATTACTGGAGTCTTCTGCCATGAGCTATCCCTGTTCCCAGCAGCTACCTGCAGAAGGGAATCCCTGCCTGCCTCTTTGTCACTTCTAAGAGACAGTGTCTGAATGTTGATGCTTCACTGCGGGCTGGGAATGGTGGATGAGGTTTTGTGGTTAGTGACAATTCCTTCTTTCGGCTGTTTTTGGAAAAAAAAAAAAAAAACAACAAACCAAGAAACAAATCCAAAGAATCCACATCCCACCAAACAATGTCTGGCATGGCTGTCACTGCCAGGCCATGTGGTTTCCACTTAGGGCAGGAGCTGGTAGGGATAATTCAGACTTCCCTGGTTATACTCAGGCACCTCCTCTAAGGTCTGTGGCTGGGCTGTTGATATATGAGTCTTGTCCCTATGTCTTGTCCCATGGATAAATAAGCTCAACTGTAATTTGAACTGAATCTTCCCATTTAGAGAATTAAATGTTTTTATCTTTGTAATTTTTCTAAGCAGAAGATTTGGTGAGAGTTTCTTAAAGCTCATTTAATCTCTGTTCTCTGTGGGAGTTCTAGGGATCTTAAAGATGCAATTTTGAGAGTTGGTATGACTTCCATGCAGCAATGGCCTGTTGGCATTTCAGGTAGTTCTTTCACAGACATCTTCTAATCTTTGGACAGTGTTAGCAGAGGTTAGCACAGATGGGGAGGGAGGCTCCTGGGAAGATCAATCTGACAGGTTTGCACTGTTATCACAGAAACTGGAGGTGTTACTCAGGTGTGGTTTGAGAGGCAGTGCTGGATGTGCAGGTTGCCATCTGAAATAGCCTGGGCCACTGCTTTCGGTGTGGACAGATTGCTCTGGCAGGTTTTGCAAGTGACCTTGGTATGGTATTAACAACTCCCATGTGCCAGACTAGCTTGATTAGCCTGACCATGCTTGAGCACTCCATGAAATACCTTCTTGTTTTCTTTAAGCTGCTTGCACATGCTGCAGGTGGCATTTGAAATGCCCCAGCTCTAATTGGAGGAGGTACTTGTGGAATAAAAAATGTGGCTGGAAACAGCAGTGTATCCAAGGTGTTTGGAGCCATCCTGCCTCATCCCAGCAGCATGGGCTGGGCTGGGAGCAGCTGCGGGGTGTGCAGGGGAGGAGAGAACCAGCAGTTCTCTTTGGTTCCCTGGGTATGAACGCAGATGTAGAGGAGGCTCCACAGCCCTCTTGTCTGGCACAGTGGAGCTGGAGCTGTGGTGTTGCTGTGTGAGCCTTGTGCTGTCACTGTTGTTGAACCGCAGGAGTGGAATTGGCTTTGTGAGCTCTCCAGGGCTCTTCGGTGCTTGCTCTGACTTCACGGGTGTCTTTCTGTGCTACTGTCACAGCCTGAGGACTGGGAGGGAGTTACTGTGCAGGTCACCCCTTTGTTTGTCCCCAAGATGCTCATTCCCTGAGCAGTTCTGGTGTCTCAAGCAGCAGCTTCCTTCTGACAGCTCCTTGGTCCCTTTCAAATTCTGCTCTCACCCGGAGGTCCTGCCAGGCTTGAAGCACTGCTCAGGAGACACTGGAGTCCCTTGGGCAGGAGCTGAGGACACTCTGTTTTGCACAATCTGGCCCTTAATCTACAAGGGGAAAGTCTAAAAATGCTAAACATCTCACAAATGTGCCCACCTCTCTCCAGTTATGTGGCCTTATCGTGGGAAACTCTCCCACTCGCAGCACCCTCTCGTGGTGTCTGCACCTCAGATTCCCCCAGCTCTGTTCTGAGGGCATCCAGGTGTCGCTGTCACCCGCTCCAGGGAAATGTGTAGTGAGTCTCAGGCACTTTAGGCAAAGCCTCTACAAGCCCCAGAAGCCATGGATACATGGGTGTTAAAAACTGCAAACTCCTAAAGGAACAGCAGTCTTTACTGCTGCTATTCCCTAGGAACAGAGGGGCGTTTGAGGATCCTGTGAGTGCTCACTGGAGGCATTTTTCATGTCTCTCTTTCTTTCTTCTCCATTAATCGGCAAATATTTAAGACTAAAGGCTTTAGGTATCTTTCAAAGTTTTTCTGTTAGTGGCAGATGAGTTTATATGGGGCTTAAGGAACAGAGATCAGAAGGAGTGAAGCAGAACCTCATCCTGAGGATTGCTGGCAGCAGGGTATTCTTGGGCTGGGTCTGATGGATGAACACAGAGGGGGATGCACATTGCTGCCTGCAGCTGTGCTGATTTTTGCCTCAGAGCAAAAAATAAGACTTTAAGACTTTTTGAGTCTTCCCAAGAAGTTCTTTAATGTGCAGGGGAGCTGTTAACACAACTGAAGTCTGGGGGGTCCTGGATGTCTTGGATTCCTTTTATGCTGTAAATAGAGCTGCAAAGTGCCCACATAAGTGCATTCCTGGGCAGGCTCCTGTGCTGTCTTTGAAGGGCTGGTGCCATTTCTCTCTCTCTCTGAAGCAGCAGGATGCACAAACCTGTCTCAGCCTGCTTGGTTTTGGCTGCTCTCCCAGGTCTTACCTTTGCTGCTAGAAGGACAAACTACGGCCTTGTAACCTGGCTATTTCTGTTATGATACTCCAATAAAAGGTAGCAGAGAATGCTTACTCCGAGTGCATTGCCGTGTTTTTTCCACACTGGTGAAGCTTATCTGGATACACCGTTAAACATTGTGGCTTTTGTGGTTTTTATTTTCAGCTGAACTTTCCCAAGTAATGACCGGTGGTACAGCCTTGTCCAAGCCTTCCCCTCCTCTCCCTCCAAAGAGAGGCCTCCTGCCTAACAACTCGTCAGAGGCTGTCACCTCTAAGCCCGCAAATGACAGGACAGTGCCAGGGAGCCGCCCTGCACCAACCCCAGTGCACGTGACCTCAGCTTATCCACCACCTTCGCCCTCGCCGCCGCTGCCCACCCATGTGCCCCCTGAACCTCCACGCATGGTCCTGCCCACATCCACCCCTGTCCTGGACCCACCGTGCTCCCTGGACCTGCCCAAGGAGATTCCTCCTCCTCCTCTTCCTGAAGACTTCAGGTCCACGGAGGCGTCGAAGAGGACAGCAGAACAAGGCTTTGGTGAACCCCACGTGCTGCCTCGCCTGCCCCAAATCCCACTGCACATTCGTATCCAGCAGGCTCTGGCCAGCCCTCTGCCTGTCACCCCACCTCCCGAGGGGTCCCACAGGGCTCACTCTTTGCTCTTTGAGAACGATGGTTTTGGAGAAGACAATGGCACCCTGGGCAGGACAAGATCCCTGCCCATCACCATTGAGATGCTCAAAGTGTGAGTACTTCCTTGTTTGTGTGCCGGCTCTCCCAGCTCCTGCAGTGCTGGACAGGGCTTAGGTCTCTGCTGAAACCATTTTCCCTGTTGTCCAAATCTGTGTTTCAGGCTCTTAAGAACCAGAGCATCTTCCCCATGAAATTACCCCTGGCTGTGGGATTTTATTGCTCACAAAGGGAAATGGGTTCCAGACTACAAACACAGGCTGATGCCAGGAATCCGGGCCTGGACCATCTGTAACTGCACCAAGATCAAACAAGGTCCCGGGTTCTATCCATCTGTGGCCTTCCTTAGCCTTTCATTTTGCTAAACATAAGTGGGAAAAGAACTGTCTTGTGTTGTAGCAGAGCTGAATCTCCAAGTCACAAAGCAGTGGAGTCAGAGGGCAGTTTGGTTCTGCAGAACCTGCCTCTGTCATTTCCTTGGCCAGAGCTCCCTGTGCTTTGAAGAGAGGGGACGGTGCAGTGGCTCTTGCACCCCTGGTTTCTGGGCTTCCCTGAGGGGAGAGCTAAGGGCATATTGATTCTAGGGATATTCTGCAGGCCCTGTGCCAAGTGTTCAGAGGTGTAATAGCGTGCTTTTTGTTAGTCCAGACGATGAGGAAGAGGAAGATGATGACCAGGAAGAGGAACAGAATTCAGGTCCTCGTGTGTATATTGGAGATGTGCCGTCTGTCACAGTCATCCCCACACTGGTACCCCAGGTCCTCCCGGAGGAGCAGGAAGGAGACGAAGGGATGAGCGACTCTGACTCGGAGGGGCCCATCCTGTATAAAGATGATGAGGATGAGGAAGAAGATGAAAGCCATAACAGTAAGGCTTTGACATTGCAGGTGTCATTTTTATTGCTCTGCTGAACTTGTGCCTGGCTGCATTGAGATCTGGATCGAAGCACTGGTCCCACAGCGCCTCAAAGCAGCTGGTTCTTGGTTGCATGATGTAGCACATGTCCTCTGCCTTGCTTTTTCCAAGGCTCTGCAGCCAAACCTGTGCAATCACCTGCTGAGTGCACTCCTTCAGTTCCTGATGGCTCCTGTGACAGCCTGTGCTGTCCCAGCCCCTCAGGTGGGACGGCATTAGGTGAGCATGTGGTGTCACACAAAAAATGCTGTCGTCTGCTGCTGCTGTGCAGTGAGTGCAGAGCTTGGGAAGAGCAAGGAGAGAGGACTGCTCTCGCTCAGGGAGGGGCACAGGGCTGGGACTGCTGTGGCAGGCTCGGTAGCCTTGAGCTGCATCCTGTTGCTCTCCCTCTCCACAGGCACGCTGGCCAACAAAGTGAAGAGGAAAGATACGCTTGCTATAAAGCTGGGGAACACCACTGCCCCACAGGAGGAGAAGAGCATCTTCCCTCGGAAGAGCAAGGAGGAGTGGAACGAAATCCGTCACCAGATTGGGACAACGCTGATCAGGTACAGATGATGATAATGATCAGTGTGTGTGGAGTGGGATTGCACAAAGTTGGTGCCTTGTCCAAGCAGCTTGTGCTGGAATAGGGTGGGTGGTTGGGCATGGCAGCTGGAGTAGGGCTGGGAGGTTGTGTTGCTGTTCCTCCTTCATTGGAAAAGTTGGGAGTTCTTCCTGGAGTTAACTATATCCCCCTGACAGGCCCCTGTTTCCAGAGGTTAAATGGACTGAGAGGGGAAAATCTCAAGGATTACAGACATGTAAAACACAGGTGTGGATAAAAAGGTGTGGATGGATGCAGGGTGGGTGCTGGTGGTGGATGAAGCTAGGACTGGTGGCAATCCAGGTTCTGCTGTCTGAGCTCCTTGCAAAGCTGCTTCTGAGCTGGGGAGCCCATAGCCCTTCCCAAAGCCGTGCCAGTGGCTGAGCAGCTGTTTGACAAGAGCATAGTGTGAAACAGGGCAGCAGTGATCCTCAGTGGTGAGTGAGGAGTGTCTAGGGCACTGAAACCAGGCAGTTTCATCCTTTATCTGCTATTGATGAGTGACCAGATACAACATTCTGTACTTGTCACACTTCTCTTCAGGCGACTGAGTCAGAGACCAACTGCAGAAGAACTGGAACAGAGGAACATTCTTCAGCGTGAGTAGCATTTCTCTGGTGGTCCTGAGAAACACCATAAGTTTGCCTTTAACATCTTTTTGTATTGGGTGGGGGTGGTTTTAAATTGAAAGAGATTTAGAGTAGATGTTAGGAACAAATTTTGCCCTATGAGGGTGGTGAGGCCCTTGGCACAGGTTGCCCAGAGAAGCTGTGGCTGCCCCATGCCTGGAAGTGTCCAAGGCCAGGTTGGACAGGGCTTGGAGTGACTTGGGAGAGTGGAAGGTGCACTGCCCATGGCAGGGGGTGGGACTGGGTCCCTTCCAACCAAACCCATTCTGTGATCCTATGATTATGGATGGAATAGCTGTCTCATGCCTGCCACCTCAGAGAAGAGTGTGTGGGCTGGTTTAGACTCTGCTGTTACACAGCAAGGACTGTGAAAGGTATTTTTGTTTGGGCTGGACTTCTGTGTTCCAGACATTACAGCATTACCTTGCATGATCTCTAAAGCAGCAGTGCATCATAAAGTCAGGACTGTTTCTCTTGGCCATATCTTGTTCTGCAAAAGTTATAAATAAACATCTTGTGGAAATGTGAATGTCAGTTCAGGAAGTTTCCATTTAAAATATTTATCTGTGCTGTTATTTTCTTTTAAACTATAATAGCTTTGTGAAGGAGCAGGCTGCACAGTGGCTTGGATGTATTTTGGTGATATGGCCCTAAATCGTTGAGGTGAATGACTCATTGGTGCTGTGTAAGGGGCATATTTGCCCTGCCAGTTCAGGAGGTGACACAGGGCATCGAGTTGTACTGCACTCTCTGCCTGTCCTAAGCCTTTAGATCTGTAGATAATCTGATCCAGCTCAATACTGTCCTTTGTTCAAGCCTAGAAAGCACTTTTCAAAGCCTGATGCTTACATGAAAAATGTTTTTTTTTTCCCCTTGGCAGCGAAAAATGAAGCTGACCGTCAAGCTGAGAAGCGGGAGATCAAGCGCCGGCTCACCAGAAAGGTACTGCTGGCTCCTGTGGTGACAGCCACCTGGCCGGGCTGCCGGGCACGGGGGCCCTGAGCACGCTGCAGGTGCCGTGCTGTGCGCCAAGAGCAGGGCTCTTGTGCAAGTGTCCCCAGTGCCCTCGCACTGCAGTGACTTTGGAATGTGGACTGTCACCCACGGTGAGCTATTGGCACCAGGGCCGTGTTTTTGTCAGTGACGGATCTGAGCTGGCAGTGAGCGTAACAAGTCAGATGAGAACTAAATTTGGCACCTGATACTTTAAAGGTTTGCTGGCCTGGCTGCTTTAACACAGTGCTTCAGCAGCCACCATTTCACACCAGGCTCCCTGAAATCCATTTCTAAAGTAACAGCTGCTTTTAGCTGTTACATCCAAGTTACTTGTGATTGTTGCTCATGGCTGGGAAAAGCTTCCCCAAGGCCTGTGGGTGTGAAGTGTGAGTGCTGCCATTGCTGAAGCTGCGTTTAGGGCTGTCATGCAGGGCTCACCCTTGTAGCGGCTGTTCCCACAACCCTCAGTGTCCTCCTCCATGACAGTGCGGCCCAGGTTCTGCCCTAGCCTGGCTTTGTGATCCCAGTGCGAGTATCCAGTCTGTTAGAGGTTTACCTATTCCCTTGCAGGCAGGATCTGGTATTGTCTGTACTTAAGGCACAGTGAGGGAACTAGTTTTAGTTTTGCTTGGGGTGCTTAGTCCTGGATCTGCTGTGTGGACAAGGCTCAGACTAACCTCCTTTGTTTTTCCTGGTGTTCAGCTTAGCCAAAGGCCTACAGTGGCAGAGCTGCAGGCCAGGAAGATCCTGAGGTTTAATGAATATGTGGAAGTAACAGATGCTCAAGACTATGACCGGCGAGCAGATAAGCCATGGACAAAGCTGACTCCAGCTGACAAGGTAACTGAGAGTCTCCTGTCCCCACATGGGAAGAGGAGCCAGCCAGGGTGGCCCACACAAACGGGTGTGAGCCAAGATGATCTGCTCTGTTCCTCTGGCTTCACCTCTTCACCTCTTTCCCTCTGTGCCTTCACTTGCATGTGCTGCCCCATCTCTGCTTCCTGCTGCCTCATGGCAAGGTGGAGCCCAGGTGGGCGCAGTCTGAAAGCCTTGCGTGGCTTCTGCCTCAGTTTCTGAGTGATGTAAGAATGATAAAATCATGGAATCGTTAAGGTTGGAAGAGCCCTTGAAGATTGAGTCCAACTGTTTACTCAGCACCACCATGTTCACCAGTAAACCGTGTCCCCAGGTGCCCCATCTGCACATTTTTGAACAGTTCCTGGGATGGTGATTCCACTACAGCCCTTTCTATGAAGAAATTTTTCCTTGTATCTCATCTAAACTTCCTGTGCCTCAGCCTGAGGCAGTTTTCCCTTGTTCTGTCGCTTGTTACCTGGAGAAGTGACCAACCCTCAGCTCTCTTGACCCCCTGTCAGGGAGTTGTAGAGAGTGGGAAGATCCCCCTGAGCCTTCTTTTCTCCAGGCTCAGCTCCCCACCCCGCCCAGCTGCTCCTGGTGCTCCGGACCCTTCCCCAGCCCCAGCAAGGATACTGAGTATTGGTCATGGCAGTGCAGTTCCCTGCAGGCTCAAGAAATTGGCAGGGAACTACCTATCCTTGTCCTCCCAGGCCACCTCTGGGCACTGCCCAGTCCCCATCGGGGAGGGCAGATTAAATTCAGCTTGGCATTAATGGACTGGGGTGAAAACTGGGGTGGCTGCTCCAGTCTTTCTCTGAGCCCTTTCCAAAAAATCTCCCTCTCTGTGCAGGCAGCCATCAGGAAGGAGCTGAATGAGTTTAAGAGCTGTGAAATGGAAGTGCACGAGGAGAGCAAGCAGTTCACGAGGTGAGAATGTGTTAACATAAGAATTTTCCACCTTTTTAGAGCTGTGCTGCAAGGACAGTACTCAGTGGCAAAACGCTAAAACCTTAGAAGAATTATTTGTGCAGCAGTTGGAGATTGAATGTCCTTTTCTGTCTGAGTCCTGGGGGTGACTGGAGCAGCAGCAGACACAAAGTGCGTTGGTTTTCCTTAAACTGGGGCTTCCATCCTGGAGGCTCAGTGATCATCTGAAACTAGTGTGAAGCTGCAGCTGGAGTGAGCTTCTCTGGGGCTAGAGATATGCAGCCATAGCCACAAAACAACTTGCTAATGAGTGACCTTGGATGTAATCTCTGTAGTCAGGTCTGGATCATGGCCCAAGTGATTCCTTTCCTTCCAACTCTGTGTGGCAAAGTTGAGTGCAGAGCACTGGAAGTGAAATTATTTGATGTTCACGGCTTCCCTGAGGGCTGGGAGTTCTGAGATAATAATTCAATTTACTCTCTTTGGCCATCTGTAGTGCCCAAGTAACCATTTAGCCTGAGTTCCAAGGATAACACTCAGATTTTTCACTTGGCTTTCAGATACCATCGACCATAATATTCCAAGGAGGGAGCAAGAAACCCGTGAGGGCTGGAAGTCCCCCTCCCAGGCAATACAGTGAGGGTGGAACCTCAGCTCTTCCAAGATTTGCCTTCCAAACATATCCAGAAAAAGGCTTTCGGCCAGGGAAGGGGAATCCTGTCTGAATGTAGCATTTCACTGGAACAAACACATCTCTCATGCCATCAGGCTGGAAGTGACACTATACCTCGTGTGGCTCAGCAATACGACTCTGCCAGGAGACCGTGCCCAGGGGAGCGACCCCTTCCTCCCCAAGCTGCACAGACTTGTCTTGGGGAGTGCAATTCCTCATTTCCTTCTCCTTTCCTTCAGGAAGGGAGATTAAAAGCAAAGGCAGCTCTGATGTTGGGAAGCTGAGGAGAGCATCTGCTCAGAAGCAAATGTGTGTATATTAGCTGTGTACAGAGAACCCTGGCAGACAACTGACGGGGCACTCACTATGTTTTGGGGGTTTTGCTTTTTTGTCATGTCCTTAATGCCCTGAATCACTACTGACCAACGGTTTGTTGTCCTGGAAGGGAATTGTGTAGATATTAACATATGCTGCATCTTTTTGTTAAAAAAAAAAAAAAAAGGAAAAAAACCCCCACCCCAACATATGTCTAAATGCTCTGCACTCTCTCACACTTGCTGTGATCTTAATAACAGATCTTGAGATCCTTAGGCTTGTTTAACAAATTACAGAACCAGGAAAAATGACTGTTGCCTTTTTAAAACTTTTTAATTTGGGGAAACTGTGAGAGTAGTCAGTCCTTTTTATTGTGGCTTTCTCTCAAATGTTTTTTACTCTCCCAAATCAGGGTTGAAGCTTGCCTTTTTCTCATTTTTACAGCTAAACCTACTGGAAATTTGATCGTTTCACTGTGTGGGTCAAAAGGAAGGGAAGAATAGGTTTAAAAAGTGACCTTAAAAAGATGGTATTTCTCTTCTGAGAGAAAAATTCTTCCTCGATGCGGGTTTTAAAAAAAAATCTGGTAGGGCCACTGCTGTATTATGCACAATACTAAACTATCTGTGAGATGCCACTTGTGCGGGGGTTTGGGGTGGGGAGGGGGAGAAGAACTTTGTCTTGTTCACAGACCACACGGCCCAGCATCTGCTGGGATCTCTTCCCTCACAGCATCCCCTGTACAGCCGCCATTACATTGTATATCAGTCTCCGCAACAACAGATTTTAATTATGAAATAAAAGTATTTTAGAATTTTTTTTCTTAAACCCTGCTTGTGTGGTCGTGTCTTTTCCCCTCCTCTCAGCAGGAGCCTGACCGGCGGCTCCTGAGGGGGTGGAGCGCGGGTCAGCTATGGCGGCGCCTTCCCTGAAGCCGCGGCTTTTCGCGCCCTTCCGACTGCGCATGTGTCAACCGCCCTTCCAGCCATTGCGCAGGCGCGGCAGGCCCCGCCCCCTCCATTGGGTGTTGGCCCCGGCCCCCATGCCCATATACGGTCTGTCTCCGCCCCTCGCGCGGGACGCATGCGCGCATTTCAGCCCCGCCTCCCTGCACTATAAAAATCGCCGCGCGGGTACCCTCGGCCTCTTTCACCGTGGAGAGCGGCGCAACGGTCAGGTAGAGTTCGCTTCACTTTTACCCTTTTACTAGTTTTTACCCTTTAAGCTCTTTGTTTTGCTGTGGCGCGTGGTCGTGCTGGCCGCGCTGCGGTGTCAGCGGATGCCCGCTCTATCCCCGTTTTACCGCTAAACTACGCTGTGAGTTGCACGTGGCGGTGGGTGCTGCGGAGTCGCCCCGCACCGCCTCAGCCGCCGCTCAGAGACATTTCCTTTTCCTACAGGTTCCACCAAAGCCTGTTTAAGCTTGGTTTGCCCATTTCGCTCTAACGTGAGTATCTTTCACGTGTCCCCGCCGCGTGGTCGGCGGAGCTGGGATGCGCGGGGGCCTGGGGCAGGCAAGGTGATTATAAATGTTTATAGCCAAGGTCCAACGTGGATATCCGGAGAAGTCGCTCTCTCTCGGCTCTGTCCGTGTGGCGCGTGGGAGCGCAGGCCTTTGGGCCCGTGACGTATAGTCCCTTTCCACGACGTTGGAGAGCAAGCCGGGCCCCGAGCCTGCAGCCTGCATATTCCTACTGCTTCTCTGAGCCCTTGGGCCGTGACAGAGGAGACAAACCATGCAGGAAACACTGACACGCTGGGTGGGACGGGGAACACGTGCCGAGCTGGGAGGGGGAGACATTAAAGCACAACCTCCTGAGCAAATCCTTAAATTCCTTTTTTTTCTTCATTTCCAGAACCGAAATTAAAAAAAGTTTGAGTGAAACAAGATTTTTAAAGGTAATTGCGTTAAAAATGTAATATTATGCCTATTTCAAAGATGTTTCTAGAATAATGGGTCGGTTTAGTGATAAAATTTAAAACGTAAGTCCTGTTTAGAGGCTCCTAGCTTTGACGATTGTGTTGGATTTTGGATAGACGAGGGAGAAAAAGGCCACAAGTCTTAGCAGACAGAAAAAAACACTGCAGATCGTTGGACACAAAAAAAAAGCAGGAAAAAATACCTTTTTTTTTTTTTATAAATATTGCAGAATCTGCTGGGGCGAAGTGACAAAGAAAATCCGCCTTTAGTGGGAAAGGGTGAGTATTTTAAAGAGTTTGCCCAAGTTAGGTGGTTACCCAGTTCCTCTTAGCGTACTATGTGTAATAACAATGTAGCTGCAGAAATCAAAACGCGATGGAAGCAGGAGTGCGTGAATTTAGTGGTCTTTTTAAGCACGTGCTTTGAGTGCAAAAAATAACCGGTGGCCCTGGTCCCTTGGATGTCCGAATGTGTACCTATCTACAGTAGACAACTCAATAAACTGAACTTGACTATGGCTTGTTGTGTGGTTTTGGTGAATTATCTGAATATCAAGGGAAACTTTGTGCTCTGGATGGTGCCTCTTCTGTGTAGAAGTATTCTTGTTTGCTGCTGAAGCATCTCGAAGAAGTGTGTAGAAGTGCTGTGTGGCACTCTATTGAGGCTGGATTAGAAACAGATCCCACTTTTAAATCCGGGTTTGGGCACGAAACCTTCATATCAAGAGCTAAGTCGAGAAGGGTTGGGGGGTCTGTGACCCCGGGGTGAGGGGAAGCAGGGAGGGGATCACACGGCTTTCCCTTGCCCTTTCAAAGGGGAGTGCTGCTGTTGGTTTGGGGGGGGGGGTTAGGGGAGGTGCTGCTGTGGGTTGGGTGAAATAGGCGTCAGCAGTTTCCCAGATGGCCTGTCCACGGCCTTGACGTGGCCCGGGAAAACATCGGGGAGTGGCTGTCAAGTCCCGGCATAAGCCTGGGATAAATAAAGGTGATGCTTCTTCAAGGTTTTCCAATCTCATGTGGGTGGGCTGTGGGTGATCCCTGGGTATCACGGTGTGTAGATAAGGAGATACAGGCTGCTGTACCAGCCAAAATGTTAATTGGGAACATGATTTTGTTGGTAAATTAAAGATAGTATGGCCAAGTGCAGGCCTTCGGACTGGAACAGCTGAATTAAGCACTGGAATAAGGGTAATCACATTGGATGAAGGGGAAACTCTAAAAGTTTGCTGTCCTCCGATTAACGGGAGAAGTTTGGTCTAGTTCCTGTTTCAGGAGTAAAAGGGGTTTTCCACTTTGCAGCAGTAGGTTGCTGGAGAAGGTGTTGGTGCAGACTTGCTGGATTTCCATACTCCGTTATCATTGATCAGCGTGTTTAATTACCTTTTTCTGCAGCAGCTCTGTTCCCATCACGGCTGGCTGCGGCCTAGGAGGCATCTCTGGAGGTTAGAAGCAGGATGAGTTAGTGACACGGATTTATTGTCTGGGGGGCAGTGTATTGCCAGCCGCCTTGTGCTGCCTGCCCTTGTGTGTCTTTCTGTCCGCTGTCTTGCCCCGCCTATCCTCGTTCCGTCCTTCAGTCCGCCTGTCCTGTCCCACCTGTCCTTCTGTCCCCTTGTCCTGTGGGGACAGTGCCGGGGCCGCCGACCGCTAGGGGACGCAGCGCCGCGAGGAGCCGGCGCGCGCATGCGCAGAGCGGAGCGCGGCGGCGCCGGCGAGCGGTGAGGAGCGCGGCGGGGTCGAGCCGGGAGAGCGGCGGGAGGCAGCGGCGGGGCGAGCATGGGGACACGGGGGCGATCGCGGGGGTCCCGGCGGGCCCGGGGCCGTCCTCGGCACAGCCCACCGGACAGCGAGAGAAGCTGCAGGCGGCGGGAGGAGCCGCCGGTCCGGGCCGTGGCCTCCGCGGCCCCACGTGGGGCGGCGCCGCGGGGAATTCGAACGGCGGGAAGGGGCGGGGGCCGTGCTCGGGCCGTGCGGAACCGGGCAGGGGGTGAGGACGCAGGTACGGCTTGGCTCCGATTCTTCCCTTTTCCCCTTTCCCGTCTTCATTCTCCTTTCTTTTCCCCTTCCCTCTCTCCTTGCCTGCCTGAACCTGAAATCTGGAGACGTTCACATAGAGTATGGATAAAACATACAAGAGAAAACTTTCTATTTTCCCAGAGTAGGAGAGGGGATCAGTGTTCAAATCCCAGCTCAGTCACCAGTCCCTCAGGTGGTGTTTTAGGGTGTGAGGGGGCACCCCAGACAGTGAACAGACCCGGTTCACCAGGTGGGTGACTCCTTACCGGCTCTTTTTGGCATTTAGATTCCACGATGCCGGGAAAACGCAGAGTGCAGATCCTGGTCCCAGAAGAAGTGTCTTCTGAGATGAAAAAGGTTAAAGGTTAGTAAAATCCCTTAGAATCTTCCTTCCACTTTCCCAGGGGTGATTTTTACCAGGAAACTTGTACTCCTACATGTACTTTCTCCCCTTCCCTCCCCACAGTCAGCCACCCATCACATCGCTCACAGCCTGGGATGGTGCTGACGCTGGGCCAGGGTAACATTGGCTCTTTTTGGCATATAGATTCCAAGATGCCAGCAAAACGCAGAATGAAGATCCTGGTGCCAGAAGAAGATTCTACTGAGACAAAAAAGGTTAAAGGTAAGAAAAATCCCTTGGAATTTTCCTTCCACTTTCCCAGGGGTGATTTTTACCAGGAAACTTGTACCCTGACATGTTCTTTCTCCCCCTCACACCCCGCAGTCTGCCACCCATCACATCGCTCACAGCCTGGGCTGGTGCTGACACTGGGCCAGGGTAATGTTGGGCAGCTGGGTCTGGGTGAAGACATCATGGAGAGGAAGAAGCCAGCTCTGGTCACGCTGCCGGAGATGGTGGTGCAGGTGGAAGCTGGAGGGATGCACACGGTGTGCCTCAGCCAGACTGGAAAGGTAAGTGCAGTGGGTTCTGGGGTGTGTTCTGGAGCAGGGGGTAGGAATCAGCCACTGCTCTGCCCACATCTTGTTCCAGCTCTAGGGGTGACCATGGTCTCGTGGACCACAAAATTTAGGGGCTCAAAAGGAGGACCTGAAAGGGGCCTACGAGAGAATTGGAGAGGGACTTAGGATAAGGGCATAGAGTGATAGGTCAAGGGCAAATGGCTTTACACTGACAGAGAGTAGATGGGTGACACTGCCATTTTAGATGCGATATTGGGAATTCTTCCCTGTGAAGGTGGTGAGGCTCTGGTACAGAGAAGCTGTGGCTGCCTCATTGTGGGGGGACAGAATGTAAGAAAATAAAGATAGTGCAGAAGGTAATCTCGCCCCTGAGGAGTTGCAGCTGTGCTGATTACCAAAGATTAGGAACAGGCCACAGCTGTGTCCAATACGGATGAGTGCAATAAGAGTGGGTTAGCTGGGTGAGGAGAGACTTGGAGTTTGTTGGCTGTGCTATGAGAAAGAAGGAGTCAGTGCTGCAAGGAGCTTCCCTTGAGAAATCACTGAGAAGATATGAGAGCTTCATAATAAGATGACAGCACCTCATCTCTGGAAGTATTCCAGGCCAGATTGGACAGGATTTAAAGCAGCCTGGTCTAGCAGAAGGTATTGTTACCCATGGCAGGGGGTGGACGGAAGTGAGCTTTAAGGTTCCTTCCATCCCAGACCATTCTGTGATTCTGTAATAATTCAGCTTCATGACTCTCTGTCCCGTGACTTCACACTCAGCCCGTTGCCCCTCTGCTCCATCCTGACCATTTGCACCCATCTGCAGATCTACACCTTTGGCTGCAATGATGAAGGTGCCCTGGGACGCGACACCTCGGCTGAAGGGTCTGAGAGCTCTCCAGGGCTGGTGGAGCTGCAGGAGAAGGTGGTGCAGGTGTCGGCGGGGGACAGCCACACGGCCGCGCTGACTGAGGATGGCAGGGTCTTTGTCTGGGGCTCCTTCCGGGTACGCTGAGTCCTCAGATACTGGAAGCTCCACTGGTGGCTGCTGCTCCTGTGGCTGATCCCTGTGTCCCTCTTCCCTCAGGATAACAATGGAGTGATCGGCTTGCTGGAGCCCTTGAAGACAAGCTCCAGTCCTGTGCTGCTCCAGCTCAATACCCCTGTTGTTAAAATAGTGTCAGGTGAGTAGGTGTCGTTGTTGAGATGGTCCTAACAAACAGAAGAACACCGTGTATTTAAGAAAGCTTCTCTTTTTCATTTTAGCAGCATGCTGTCTTTATATGCTCTCACAAAGTTTATACCTATTCATTGGGCACAATAAATCAACATAATGTTCATTGGTGCAAGGCGGTCAACACCACTGTTTTCTGTCAAGATCTAGTTGCAGGACCCCTTGTTTATATTTTCTTCTCCTTTTCCACGCTGACAGCATCAGTGGGACTCCTTTCAGGGGCAAAGGCGACTCTTATCAGCTTCTCTTCTTCATCTAACTCTTTCTGACTCACAGACCAGCTGTGAGCCCCTTCCACAAGCAGGGCTCTGGGGCGTGCAGGGTCAGGCAGATACACAAGGTTGTCACAACCCTCGAGGAACGTCCATGAACTTTTCCTCCCTGTTGGCTTGTTCCAAGCCTGATACAAGGGTGTACTTGCTGATCTCTGACTCTTTCAGAGAACAAACCTCTTAGCCCCAGCAGATTCACATATTGAGTTAATATTTGACCAGTCTGATGTAGAATGCCTTCCAAGAGTGGCCTGAACTGTGACCCAGTGGGGCCAGAGCACTTGCTCTCTAATGAGGCCTGGGGAAGCTGAGCACAGCAGCCAGGGTGCTTGTCCGGGGCCCAGGGGAGGTTGGGGCACACCTGTGTCCTTACTGCCTTCCCAGAAAAACTGCTTTGAATTCCTGGGATTGGGAAGATGGAGATCCTGGAGTTTTAGGTGGTGGCACAATTGGTGTTGAGGTATCAAGTGCAGTAAGCCCCATAAGCTGGAACAACTGGGGTTTACCTGTGGGATCTCAGTCCTGAGGACTTGTTGAAGACTTGTCCATAACTTGTTTTTCCTTCCTGTCCCAGGAAATGACCACTTGGTGATGCTGACAGTGGATGGCGACCTGTTCACGTGTGGCTGTGGTGAACAGGGCCAGCTGGGCAGAGTGCCAGCACTCTTTGCCACCCGAGGAGGACGGCGAGGACTGGGTGAGTGGATTTAGTTCTCAGAGGTGCATCCTTTGGCTTTGGCTCTGCCCTTTGCAGAGGAACAAAGGGCCCCAGTCCCTGATGCTCAAGGGCTTATGTGTAATCAGCGACGTGTGTGCAGTGAGCCAGATCCTTAGATGCAGCGAGGGTGTAAATCCTTAGTCCTTGCATAACGCTTTGTCTCCTACCCCAGAACGGATGCTGGTCCCCCAGCTTGTCCCTGTCAGAGGCAGAGGGAGAAGAAGCAAAATGCGCTTCCAGGACGCTTTCTGCGGGGCGTATTTCACCTTCGCCGTCACGCGTGAGGGACACATCTATGGATTTGGCCTCTCCAACTACCACCAGCTGGGTGAGCGATGTCCCTCCAGATCTCCTTCCGGTCCACTGCTGCCCTGGCCTGGTGGGGGAAGCTGCTGGGTGCCCCAGAATCTAAACACTGGATGCACCAGAGCTGGAAATGGGTGCGGGGCTCGCTCTGGGTTTAGGTCCCAGCCCTCATGCCCACTGGGTTTGAGCAGAAATTAGATTTTGGGCCTGGGCAGCTGCATTGGTCTCTGGTAGGGTGAGCCCCAGGGTGGATGGCTTAGTGCCAGAGCTGTCCATGCCCATGGACCTGATCCGCCTGGATTTGTGCGTCCCATCCTGCAGGGACCCAGGACACCGAGCCCTGCTTCTCCCCGCAGAACCTCACGTCCTTCAAGAACTCCACCAAGTCTTGGGTTGGGTTCTCTGGTGGGCAGCACCACACGGTCTGCGTTGACTCTGAGGGTGAGTGACTCTGTGACAGGTGGGCTGGGAGTCACACTGCAGGGTGGGGGGAATCCCATGGCCCTCAACCTGGCCAAGGAGCTGTTGGGATGAGGGTGATGTGCTGGAGTCCTCCAAGCTCTCGGTGTTAAGGGAAACAATGTTGGTGTGAGATTGCAGCAAAGGGAAGCTGACAACAACAGAGACCTGGACTCATTTGGGAGCTCTGCTCTTGCACCTCTCCAGCTTACTGATTTTGAGGAGCTGAAGGGTTTCTATCCCACCCTGCCCCTTCTGGATGAGTCTCAGGGTGTGGTGTGGAGGAACGATGCTCCTTCAGGAGTCAGGCTTGGGAAGAAGTCCTGGTCTGCTTTGGCCTTGCTGCAACTTCTGCCCAGCTCAGGTCTCCTGTCTTGTGTGTCCACTGTGCTCCAGGTAAAGCCTACAGCCTGGGCAGGGCAGAGTATGGCCGACTGGGCCTTGGGACAGGGGCAGAGGAGAAGAGTGCACCCACCGTTATCCCGGAGCTCCCCAGTATCATCTCGGTGGCCTGTGGAGCGTCAGTTGGCTATGCTGTCAGCAGTGATGGTGAGTGCCAGGGCTTGGGAACCCTGCCTTCTGCACTTCCTTCATTCCTCCGTCCAGCCCTGCACACCGTCACCACACACTGCCAGCGGGGTTGGCACTGGAGCCAGGTTCTGCTGCCCATCTCCTGGGGGCAGCTGCACAGTGGCTGCTCAGATGTGTTTGTGGGCCTGTTTGTGGGCAGCAGGGTTGGTCATGTGGTGTTTACCAGGAGAGGGTTGTTGGCCTGACAGTCTCTTCTCTAACTCTGCCGATGCCAGACCTCCGTGCTCTGGTGGTGCATCTGCCTGTGTGCAGTGTCTGCAGGAAGGAATGTTTGGAGTGGGCTGTGGGTTTATTTTTCTCCCGCAAAGGGATGAAAGTTCCTTGGCCCTGTGATGGAACACCTGTTGAGTTGCAAGTGCTCGTTCTCTTCCTCCTGCTTGTGTTTTGGACTCATAGAGATGCACTGTCTGGGTGCAAGGTCACCTTCCCATTTTGCAACAACCGGGAGCTCAAAGCTTGCTTCACCTCTGTTGCAGGACGAGCGTTTGCGTGGGGAATGGGCACTAACTACCAGCTGGGCACTGGAGAGGAGGATGATGTCTGGAGCCCCGTGGAGATGACGGGGAAGCAGCTGGAGAACCGGCGGGTGCTGGCCGTGTCCAGCGGTGGGCAGCACACGGTGCTGCTGGTCAGTGACAAGGAGCAGAGCTGATGAAGCGACACCGCAGCCAGACCCAGCGGAATCACAGCACCCCCAGACCCCCCACAACTTCTGCCTGGGTTGGGGAGCCGATTACTTGGGGAGGGCAGGAGGCTCATGGAGCTCGGCCCAGCAGTGCCTGTGTGGCTGGAACAGGGTGCCCGTGGGTTCTCTCTGCAAGCGTTTGTCTGTTTTCCTGTGGTGCCCAGTGCTCTGTCAGCTCCCCGGGTCAGCTTGGTCCTAAACTGATCCCAGTTCTGTGCCTGGATGGATTTACACTTCTTCTCGTCTTTTTTTTTTTTTTTTTTTTAACATTTCCTGGCCCAGCAAAGCTGAGGGTTTTGTTCTTTACTCTGCAATCAGGTTTGGGTAATAGTCTCCCTGAGGTCCCCATGTCCCCCACATCTGGATGCTCTTCCAGCCCCTTCACCTAAATCACCTCTGGATTTGTCTGCTGCCACCCCCCAAACCCCTCTGAGCCTGTTCCGGGTGGATCTGAGTCCAGCAGGAATGTGCCCAGGAAGCTCTGTCCTCTAATCCAGAGCTTGTGACTGCTGTGGGGAAATTCTGCCTGGTGAGGGAGAATGCTGTTGGATGATGCCTAGCACAGTGTGACCGCTGGAGGCTCCTGCCTCCCTCAAGCTGAGCCCTCCCTCAAGCTGAGCCCCTGCCTGGCAGTCAGGCCAGGAGCAGATTCCCCACTCCCCATGGCCTGGAGCAGCTGCCTCATGCTACTGTTCCCAGTCCTGGCCACTCCCTCTTTGCCATTGCCTTTGGAAACCCAACCAAATCCATCCCACCGGTGGGAACACTGTTACTTTAATTTTTTCTCTTTCACTTGTTAAGGAAGGAGGTTCATTTGCTGTTAGGGCCTGGATGAGCAGACACCCAGACCGTAGCTATGCACGGAGTTGCTGGAAACAACAGCACTCCTCCTTCCCGTTGCCTCCCTGATCCAACTGGTCTTGATTCCTGTGCCCAGCCTGCTCCATCCTCTCCTTACAGGAGGTACCTTCCAGGTGCCTGGAGTGAGGAGGGCTCTGCAAAAAGTTAATTGTAGCAATAGGAGGGGGGGTTGTGGCTGGGGAAGGGTGTCTGGGGTTATACAATGGTTCCAAAGGGGTTGGATTTTTTTAAAAAAGAAAATGTATTTTGGTTGATTAATCAAGGCAGAAAGGACAAAAAAAAAATCTTTTAAATTTGGAATAAACTGAGTTTTGATAAACCCAGGCTTTTCCTGCGCTTTGGAGGGCTGGGCAGTTCTCCCGTGGGGACAGTCGGGACAGGTGTCTCCTTTCGGGGCGCTGTCCTGGTCCCAGCTGTGGCCGCCAGGTGGCAGCCGTGGGGCCGCGGGACTGGGAGAGCTGGGGCGGAGAGAGGGCATGGTCCCTGTCATCTCTGTCACCCCCTTCAGTTCCCAGCCTGGCTGACTGGTCACCCCACGTATCTTTGGGTCTCCAGGAACACAGCCAAGCCCGTGGCACACCTGGAAGGATCCTGGCATGTCCGTGCAGGGTGCTCCCAGCTGGAGCTGAGCCAGATGTGTGTGGAGACTGGAAGCCACGGGGCAAATTCCTACATCCTGGTGTGACTGGAGCCCCAGGTCGCTGTTTACACTTAATTCATTTGGGCAGGAGCAGGTTCCTTAGTGAGCCTGGGCGCTGAGAGCAGCTCTGCTGCTCCCATGTGGGATGAAATTGGATTTACACTCAGGGATGGCCTCAGTGGGTCCAGCTCTGGGGTGCTGGGGGCACCCGCATCCCATCAGGTGGGTTTGCTGTCCTGGGCTTGCAAAGGACTTTATTTTTACCTCTAAGCAAAAGATTGGGATGTGGGCCCACAGGGAATGTTGTATTGTGAGGGATCAAGCCCATATTTTGCTGTCACTGCAGGCTGAGCCATGGGCAAGTGCTCTCTAATCCTGTGGCTAATTTTGCTCCCTGGGGACCATCACCATTTGATACCGTTCAATGAAATGTGACCTACTGGATACCTGATGCAGAAACTGCTCTTCACTTAGGCTTGATTCCCAGCAACAATATTTATCCAAAACCAGCCTCAGCTACTGGGGAGATCCCACATCCCAGTGCTCCCAGTTCCTCCCTATCCCCTACCTTGGCAGGTTTTTGCATCTATCTCCCGCATTTGGGCAGCAGGAACCGTATCAGTGGTGTGACACAACAGGGTTGGATCCTGCCAGGAGCCAATGCAATTCCCTGTTCCAGCTCCTGTGGGTGCAGAGAAAACCCAGATCATTACTAAAGAAGATGGGATTGTACCCATCCCTGAGGGGCTGTTCCTGTTTCTGGGAAGGGGAAAACATGTCTTTGTGAATGGGAAGCTTGTTGGTATATTGAAGAAACATGGGAAAAGGACTGGGAGAGAACAATAAGATTTAAAATATTCAGAACTGATGAGTAAGCAATTGTCTTGGGAACCAGTGACACTTCAGTGGGAAGCTGCTGGAAACTGGGGGAAGGATGAGCCCCCACACAGGGGGGAGAGGGTGGATGGAGGAAAACAGCTTAATTGAGCGAAGGGAAATGTCTCATTAACAAGGTTTTGTGCTCACAGAGTGAACTGGGGGCATTTTGAGGATTAGGAGGAGGAATTTGGGTCCTGTGGAGTGGACCCCTGGCTGTGTCAGGATCCAGCCATAGTCAGTGGGGGAGGTTTTCTAGCACTGACACCTCCAGACTCTCCCTCATCACCAGCTGGCAGCTCCACACTCTGGTCTCCATCTGTTGCTATTGGAAGTGCATAAAAGGCTTTTGCTTTACAGACAAAAGCTGGGAAAGTGGTATTTGAGGGCTTTAGCATCCCTGGAGGATGAGGCCTGGCAGTGTGAAGATCTTTTGGGCTCAGATTAAAAGCACTTTGAGTGTTGTTTGTGAGGGATTTTTTTCATGTTTTTTTAACATGTTCCTGTTTTAGATAGAAAATTTCTGCCTGTGCAGTGGTGCTGCTGGATCTACAGGGAGAGAATTGCATCTTCAGGAGGGTTTGGAGGATATTCAGATTGTTTTCTTGTTATTCCTTTCCTGCCTGGAAGAGGAAATGAGCTTTAATTATGGCCAAGCTGCCTGTGATGGGGTTTAATGATGGTTTAGTCATTGTACTGGGCTGTCTCTCCAATCATTGAGGCTCTTGCCTGACCAGTATATCCCAGGATAACTGCCATGTGCAGTGTTCTGGTGTGGCTCTAGGTAGAAGGGTGTCTTGGTTCTCTTTCGGATGAGAATTGGGCTGAAATAGTGATGTGGTGGTGTCTCTGTCCCCTTCCCAAACTGCTGACATCCTGGTTCCTTTCCCATTACAACAGGCCAAAAATAAGGAAAGTCTCGTATGGTTCACTCAACTCCTGGGAACTGGAGAGGGGGATCCTGGCTCTTTCCCTGCCTGGAGGAGCTCCAGTGCTCACACAGCGTCCCAGACATCCCCTCCCTGCATGTTCCTCCTGTTCCCATTTGCTCAGGGAATAAAACAGCACAAATTAAGCAGAATTTGTAACTCTGAAAGGAGAAAAAAAAAATCCTCTAGGAATTATTCATAGTTATTTTCTTTCCCTATTAAATGATGAATTGCAAGACAAGCATCTCTGTTGAGCTGAGAGCCTGGGTCCACCCCAGGCTGCTCCAGGGTCAGGAAGGTGAGAGTTCTTGTTGCTGTCCTCCCCAGGAAAGCCAGATCCCTTCATTTCCATCTGCATATTAATGCAATTCCAAAGTCAGCCTAAACCTGCAGACAAAGAAACTGGCATCATCATAATTAATCACAAGCTCAATACATCAGGGTTCATTATTTGGTGAATTAATTAAAGAAAAAAAATTGGGGAAAGGATGTTTCCTGCAATAGCACATGGTTTTGGCCTGCAAATGTCCCTGGAAATAGCCTGTTGGTGTGTGCCAGCATGGGTTGCTGTATAATTAATCTGGGCTGGCTGCTAGTTTAACTGGGCTGTGAAATCTCCAGAATTGGTGCCTGGCTCAGCTTTCCCAGGGTGCTGGGTAATGGACAGGGGTCCTCGAGTGGTTTTCACATCCACTCTGCACTCTTTATGGTTCTCCTTCTTTGGGAACTAAGAAACCTACACTGCAGAAGTGATCAGTACCCTAAAGTCCAAAGTCTTGTTAAGCCAGAGCAAAGTTACAGGCTCCAACACCTGTTTCTGTTGCTTTTCCGCTGAATCCTCATTTGTATTTAAATTACAAATGTAATTTGGGCCAGAATTTGGGCTGCTTGTTTTTTGAAATAAAATTATATCTTGATGACTGTTGGCAGAAGAGGTTTTTGGTGGCTAGGGCTTGCAAACAATCTCAGCTCTAAAGGGCTTTGGGTGTTCACAAAGGTGAGTTTTTCTAAGTCCATGTATGTATTTAAAACTTGAATTCAGAATCATCAAATGGCCTGAGTTGGAAGGGACCTTAAAGCCCATCCAGTTTCATGCCCTGACATGTGCAGGGACACCTTCAAGCTGTCCCAGGCTGCTTCGAGCCTCATCCAGCCTGGCCTTGGACACTGCTTCCCTGAGCAACCTGTGCCAGGTTATCCCCACTCTCACAGGAAAGGGTAAATTTAGAGGCAGTTTCATCACTCCCCAGACCACCCCCCTGAGCCAGACCTTGCTCATTTTTGATGCCTGTGAGTCGCAAGAGAGCTGGAAATTGCTTCCTATCTTCGATTTTATTTTTCTTGAACTTTTAGAAAGCAGGGTGCCTGTACAGAAATGCCACAGTAAGGCAAATATCCCAAGGGTTGGAGCTGGAGATAGTGTCTGAAGTACTTTGTGAGATGCTAGGGATCCGGCATATTTAGCTCCACCACACACGTAGCAGCTTCTGTAGTGGGAGGTGTGATGGGAGGCCTTGGGGTCTCTTTAGTTTCATACAGCTATAGACAGACATACATATATATTTATAAAAGTACACAAAGAGTTCCCTCCGAGCCCGCTGGCTAAAGCACGGCCCAGTCAGGGCAGGCTCTCCCGGTGCTGCTCGCTTGCACTAGGATTTGCCCACAGTTTTCCAGCCCAGCATCACATCCATGTCCAGGGCCGCCTTAGCTGCAGTCAGAGGTCTCTAAATAACACTAACCTAACAATGACATGAACAGTAGAAAGCTTTCACTGGGAATAATCCCAGTTTGAGGAACTCCAGGAGAATTTTTACAATGGATCTGGAGCTTTTTGAAAACTGTCTCTGAAGTGGCATAAGTTTTTCTTCCCATCTCCAGTTGTCCTTTGGACATAGCTCAGAGTGGGATGGAATGAGGTCCCGTGATGTGGCAGAGAAAATGGCCTCAAGTCATTCCAGGGGAGGATTAGGCTGGATATTAGGGAATGTTTCTTTCTTGAAAGGGTTGTCTAGCCCTGGCACAGCTGCCCAGGGCAATGGTGGAGTTAACGATCACCAAAGAGATTTAACCATCACTGCGTGGATGTGGCACTTGGGACATAGGCTAGTGGTGGCCTTTGTAGTGGTAGAAGAACAGTTGAACTTGATGATCTTGGAGGACTTTTCCAACCTGAATGATTCTGTGATGCTATGATCACCTCCTGGCACAGTTCCTTTCTGCCATGTGAGTGTTTCCCCTCTTGCTATGGGCTGTGGTGTCATCCTGGCCTGTGCAGGAGGATAAGCATGTGGAAATTGCAGTTCTGGTGCTCTGGGCTCTGCCAAGAGCCACATGTTGGAGGGTGACAGCCTCTGCTGGGTGGTGTTGTTGGTTGAGGAGATGGCATCAGTGGAGCATATTTGCCCAACTTGCTTCTTGTTCTCTCTGTAGGAGAGCCCTACATCATTTGGTGAGTCCCAATTCTCCCATTTTTCTTTATCAGAATGCAAAATGTTTTTGCAGTTAGTCTGTATGCAAACCCAGCAGTGTTAGTGAGCAGCACCCAGCCCACCATTCTGCTACAACTCTGTGGTGGTGACCTGGGTGACTTCTGAGCGCAGCTCATCTCCTCTGTGTCCCTGGCAGCCCCGCTGGGGGCTGCCCACGTCTAGTCATGCCGGCTTGTTGCGGGCTTCAGAAGCGGTGCAGGTGGAGACGTGCTCCCGCGTGGTGTTCCTGGCGCGGGAGAAGCTGTTCTGCTCCACACGAGCTCGGAAAGGCAGGCAGAACTCTCGGAAGCACCTCTTGAAGTTTTCATCCAGGAAAGCATAAAGGACAGGGTTGAGGCTGCTGTTGGTGTAGCCCAGAGCTATGCAGAAGTGCAGGCTGGCCACCACATAGGGGTTCTTCTTGTCTATGTCCACCAGCGTCCAGACGATGACGAAGATGTGGATGGGTGTCCAGCAGATGATGAAGGCTGCCACCACCACCAGCACCATGCGTGTGATGCGCCGCAGGTTGCGATCCTTCTCCTTGGAGCCTGAGAGGAGCCGGACGCTCTTCAGGCGAAGGATCATCAGCCCATAGCAGATGGTGATGACCAAAATGGGGATCAAGAAGGCAAAGATGAAGACACATATCTTGGTCACAGTGTCCCAGTAGATGGGAGGGTCAGGAAACTGGAGAGTGCACAGGACCATACCATCTGCAGCAGAGAGGAAGGTCAAAGAGGAAGCTCAGTGTCTGCTGAGAATATTCTGCCTTCTGCTCAGTAATGGCTTGTTAAAACCCTAGGGAGATTCATTCCTACCTGCCTGCTCTTGGCAGAGGTTCCCCAAGAGCTCTGTGCCATCAGACCCCTGTCCAGAAGACACTGAGGAGAGGCAGTGGATGCAATGACTCTGGAACCTTTTCCCTGCAGGGCCTCCTGGGCCACTCAAGGCCAATCCTGCCTTCTCTCAACCCCCACGATGGACATCCCCACGTCACATCCACATATCACCCTTCACTGAAATCTGTCCACTTCCTCAAGATGCCCAGAGCTTTCCTAGCAGCTAAGGACCAGTGACCCCACACAGGAGCTGCAGATCTTAGTGTGAGCCACTTGGAGACTTTTCAGCATCACTGGGGTTTTTTTAGGCCCCATGCTTTCCATACCAGGAGGTGGGGAGAGACACTGCCTGGACTGGAGATGGGGAAAGGTGTGGGATCCCTACCCTTAAGGGGAAGGGAGGACAATTTCTGGGACAGTTTCAAAGATGGGAAATAACACCATGATGCTTTTTCCCAGACAGGGCACATTTATGGTGCCACAGACAGGTGCCCACTATTGACCACAAATCTGCTACAGGACCAGAGCTCAAGTTTGCCAGATCACCCCTGGGATGAACTGATGGGACAGGAGGGGACACGCATCCCAAGACACTTGCCTTTTGACTTGGTGACTGCCATGACCATGATGGGCACCCCGATGAGGGAGGAGAGCACCCAGATGCAGACATTGATGATCTTGGCTTTGGCCGGCGTGCGGAAGTCCAAGGCCTTGACCGGGTGGCACACGGCGATGTAGCGGTCCACACTCATCATGGTGAGGGTGAAGATGCTGGTGAACATGTTGTAGTAGTCAATAGAGAGCACGACCTTGCAGAGCAGCTCCCCAAAGGGCCAGGTCTCCATGAGGTACTTGGTGCTCTGGAAGGGCAGTGTGCTGGTGGCCAGTGCATCAGCCAGTGCCAGGTTGAAGATGTAGATGTTGGTGGCTGTCTTCATCTTGGTGTACCTGGGGGTGGCAGAGAAAGGGCATGTTACAGGTGGTCAGGGCACTTGATGTGATGAGGAGGGGGCACAGTTTGTCTGCTCACAAGGTGACACCGGCCTTGGTGAGCAAAAGTGTTGTGATGTGCCTTTCTGCAGCACCAATGTGCTCAGCATTTCCCTGAACCAGTTGCACAATGTCCTTTATCCCCTCAACCCTCCTTCATCTGATTTTCCACCTAGTAAATTGTGATTATCCAGCCTGCTTCCCTGTCAAGGTTGCTTGTAGAAATTGGATCGATTACCCCCGGAAACAGGCCATCTGGAAGCAGCCCAATTAGCCAGCCTGGAGCTCCAGAGCCTTTGGGGGAGCCTGGCTGTATCCCCCAGAGCATTTGGGAAGGGCTGGCTCCGCTTCTGGTTCTTGTCACACCATGGCAAGAGAAATGTGTGGTCCCTCATGTCCAAACCTTTCCTGAAGGGATGAGGCAAAGTTATGGCAGATGACAGAGAAGCAGGGATGTGTGTGAGTGTCCCAGGAGCATCCAATCCTGCAAGTGTTGATCAAAGGGATGCTTTGAATGGTGTGGTGGCTTGGAAATAGATACTGAGGGATCTGCTGGGCACCCCCAAAGAGCAACACATGTGGGGCAGGAGGGGCTCTGTGAAGACCCTGCTCTTTGCAGGGCTGCACCAGCAGCTCCAGCTCTTCCTGTGCTCCCTTCCAGCAAATCCCCATTGTTCAGAGAGCATCCTCCCCAGCCTCAAGCTTTTTTAGATGTACCCTCATTAGTTAACATCAGGGTCAGTTTGCCCAAAACCATCTCTGCATGCCTAAGCCTGCCTGTAGCAGCACTAGGGAAAGGCATAGAGGGGGGAAATGACCCCGTTGTTGCTGAGATGAAAAGGTCGCTTTCCTTGGTGTACTTATAAAATAGACAGAAAGTGACTTTTCACATGTGTGACAGAGGTAAGACATTTTAAACTGACAGAGGGCAGGTTTGAAGCAGATATGAGGGTGGTAATAACCTGGCACAGGGTACCCAGAGAAGCTGTGACTGCCCCATCCCTGGAAGTGTTCCAGGCCAGGTTGGACAGGGCTTGGAGCAGCCTGGGACAGTGGAAGGTGTCCCCGCCCATGGCAGGGAGTGGAATGAGATGGGCTTTAAGGTCACTTCCAATCTAAAGCATTCTAGGATTCTGTGATAATTAGTACAGCTCATTGCATGTTGGGGGTACATGAAATGAGTTAAGGTAGGGGGATTGAGTGGTTCCCATCTCAGGTGGTCCTGCCATGGCTGGAGCCCAGGACAGCAGGTTGATGTGGGAAAGAGGCTCTTGGGATTGATGGTGGTATCCAATCCCTTCCCCTTATCCTTTCCCCATCTCAAAAGGATCAGGAGAGTGTATTTGTGGGGACAGAGACCCACCAAGTTGCATTGTCAATAGAACTGGGAACTGGAGCTGAAAAACTAATTTCTCTCTGTGAGAAAACAGAAAACAGCAGCTTAACCCAGCTCCAAGAGCATTCCTGTCTCCTTCACCATGGCTGCAAATGGCAGCCCGTTGCCCAAGGGTGGAAATATTCAAGCTGAGCTTTTTTTTTTAAATTTAAATATGGCATTAAAAATGTCTTGTCCTTGAAAAGTCCTTTTCTGTTCTCTTTAGTGTTATTTTCCAAGCGCTTTTGCAGAAAAGTTTCCTCCCAGGTTAAACAAAAAGCTGAGAATTTGTGGTATTGTCAGGTTTTGCCTCTCCTATGTGAACAGTCAGTTCAGGTAGATTCACACATCTTTGGTCTCTGTTTTTTGAGTAAAGTGGTAAAAAAAAATCTGTTATTCATTCCATGATCTGCCAGATGTGCTTAGCTGTGCTGGGTAAGCACTTCCCAACCCCCTGCCAGATGTGCCGAGGTGGGGGACTGGAAGGCCAGAGCTGTCACCCATCCCCAGGCAGGATGGGGCTGGTGAGGGCAAAGCAGGGACAGGGATGACTGGGATGATAATGGGAATGTCTAAGATGATGGATTGACTCTGCCAATGCATTTGACTGGAATAATAGGGATAACTGGGATGAGGCTGGGGATAACTGGGATGATGAAAGACATAACTGGGATGATGGGGTTGATGGGAATAACTTGGGATGATGATAGGGATGACTGGGATAATAAGGATGGCAATTTAGCTTCCAGTACTGGGGTTTTGAGGGAAGATTCAGCCCCCTCCAGGTTTGGGCTGAGGTTTCAACCTCCTGCACAGGGTGAGGCGTCCATCCTGATGACCCTCCTGAGCTGCAAATGAAACTGCTGCTCCAGGAAAGAGGTTTATTGCCCACATTAGAGCAAATCATCCACTGCTACTGATGGACCTCCCCAGGCTGCCAAACCCATTGCAATTAAGTGAGTGCCTTGATTGGGAAGTTATGCACTTGAACGGAACAATCTGGGTAGTGTTGATGGAGAGAAGAGATGGGAGGGGATGGGGCAAGCACAGGGCAGCTCCGCATTCCAGTCTCGACTCCCAAGTGGGGATGCCCTCTCCAAACCTCTTGGAAAATAAATAAGTGAAAGAAAAGTGAATAATAAGTGAAAGAAAAACTCCTGGAGCTGCTAAAAGCCGCTGCCTGAAAGAGCCTGGCTTGACAAAGCCTGCACCCAGCTGTCCCTGCAGCCTGTGTGGGGGCTGGTGGGGGGCTGATGCACTTAGTGGGGATGAGGCACTTGCAGCCCTGAGTTCACAGCTGCCAATTGCTTCCAGGAGTATTTTTAAAAGCATCTGACAATACAATGGGCATGGCAGTGCTGGTCAGAGCTGTGGTGGGGAGGGTGCTGGGTGTGCTGGGCTCCCTCCAGGTGTGTGATGGGCTTGGCTGCTCTGGAGAGGGATTTATTTGGAATTTGGCTGTGCTTGGCTCATGGTGTGTCCATTCACAGAGCTATATACCAGGGCCCTGTGTCTGCATCTGCCAGCTCCTAGCACTCACGGACTTTGTGGCAAACTCAGTGTAGTCCCAGAGGTCCCTGACCCCCAGGATGTGCTCCAGCCGTGCTTCCAGACTGCCTGGACCCCCAAGGGCACTTAGAGGTGGCATTAGGAGAAGAGCACAAAGCAAACACCCAAAATCTCCCTGGCAGTGAGGTCCAAATCCAAGCTGATCCCACCTCATAGCCCTTTCTTCCATGGACACAGGTCTTCCCTAGTCCTGGCCTAAACCATGTCAACATGGAGCAACTCTGACAAGGACCCTGGGAAACTCCAGATGGCTTTGGCCATGGATGGGCGAAGGCACATGTCCCTGCAGCCCCTCCTGTCCCAGGGGCTTGGAGGATGATACTTGCTCATTTCATGGGAGATATTCTCCTTCCCCGGACATGTTCAAGGCCAGCTTGGACAGGGCTTGGAGCCACCTGGTCTAGTGGAAGGCAACCCAGCCTATGGCAGGGTAGTGAAACAAGGTGGCCTATAAGGTCATTTCCAAACCAAGTCACTCTGTGATTCTGTCTTTAATTCCAGCATCAGCTGGAAAATGTGGGGCTAGAAGGTGTGGTGAAGGGATCTGTGGCCATCAGGCTTGCTAAAGCCTGGGTTACATGGAGTTACTCAGTAAAATAGGGAGGATGTTTGCACATGAAATCACTCTCTTTAAAATGTTTTCCCTCTCCTCTCTGAGCAGAACCAGCTGGAGGGGGTCTAATAACACTCATCCCTCACCCTGACATTATTCATGGCATCTGTCTCTGCTGCAATTACCTCAATTTGCTTTTTCAGACCAGGGCTCATTTTTGATGCCCCTTCTGAGTGGATGAAAAATCCCATTAAGGGTCAGGTCAGGTCAGCGAGTTATTCCCCCATGCCACTCCCCATTGCCGACACTCTTGGATGGTTAAAAACACACAGCAGAGCCCCACAAAGAGTGGCGAGCAGGGGCAGCAGAGCCTGATACCAGGGCAATGGGCACTCCAGGGTGGCTCATGGACACGTTTCAGGATGGTTTCCTTCCCTCTGGTGAGTCACCACATTTATTTGTGCGCATGCAGTGCCAGGCTGTGCTGACTTCTGGTAACAATAGCTATGGACTGAAAGGGATGGGGAAATGAGGGTGGAAATGGTAAAAAATGTGAATTTGGAGGGTTTGTTTAAATCCAGCCACCAGCTCTGGTTTGGCTTTAGTGTTTTGGCCAAGCTGGGGTTACAGCATCACCTGAGGCAGTGGAAATTGGAATCACCCCACAGATTCTGGACCGACAGGACCAAGCCCCCTCCAGTGCAAAGGGGGTGGCTGTGAAGCCCAGGCACCTAGTGAGACTCTTCTGCTCCCTCCTGCCAGGCTGGAGGTGTTGACGTCTGTGCCCTCACAGAGTGTGACTGCGAGCACAGCCCCATCCTTTGCTGCTGGCAGAGCTGTGGAGGAGCTCTGTCAGCCCTCGCTGCTGGCACTGGTCCTGTGGTCTGGTAAGACTTGGCTTTATGGTCCCAATTTCTATGTCAACCCATCTTAACCAGGCAGGACCACCCAGCGTCTCGGACAAAGGGACTGATGAGGTTTTGTACCTTAGCACAAGTGTCTGGTGGGATACAGCAGTATCTTGCCATGCCCCATCTTTAAAGCGGGGGGCATTTGGGTCATGTTGCTTGCTCTGGGGTGCAGAGACCCTGCAGACCCTGCCTCTGCCCAGGGAAAGCCTCACCACAGGTGCCGAGATCTTGGATGCAGCTGAAGTAGGTCTCTCGGCTACTGGAGCTGGTACCCCACACTCGGGGGAGCAGAGGACAGCTCAGCCGTTGTGGGAGATGGGGCTGGGCCGTGCAGTGTCTGCTCTTTGTTAGGGAAAAACAGAAGTCAGGCAGCTGCGGAGGTGCTGGCACAAGAAGGAGCTGGGGATGAGTTGGGTGGGTAATTCCCACTGATGGAGTGAGGTGGCAGCAGCGGGAACCCGCCAGCCCCTGCCTGGGGCGGGGAGGGGGGGGGGGGGGCCTGGACCCACCCTGCAAACAGGGCAGCTTCCAGCCCGCAGCGGCACCAGCCCTGCGGCTTCGCTTCCTCACAAAGGACAAGAGGCGCCCATTGGGGTTGGGCTGTGTCGCCCATGCCTCCCCCCCCATCCCATGCCCAAACATCCCCGAGCTGCTCCAGGCACACATGGCCTCTGCTTTCACCCTTTGCACAGCACTGCACCCCCCACACTTGTACAGCCTGCACACGTACTGCTCACACGCATATCGCAGCCGTCTCGATGTGCACAAGCAGCCAGTTCATACCCAACCCTCCTCCTGCTGCTGGCAAACTCACACCCAGTGCAGACACACCTGGTGCACACTCACAACCGTTGCACACTCCCTCCTGGTTTACGCTTACTTCTGCTGCTGTTTGACACGCAGCACACACTCACCCCTGCGCACGCTTTCTCTTAGTGCAAACTCCCTCCTGGTCCTGTCTCAACCCTGGTGCGCACTCGCCCCTAGTGCACACCCACTCCTGGTGCACACTCACTCAGTGTCACCAGCTCACACCTCCCATGTGCTGCACACTGACCCCTGGCACAGCCTGGCCCCATCGGTGCTTTCGCACTCGGTGTGCCCAAAATGCCCCCTTGCTCCCTGCGCACCCCTGCCCAGCTCTCACCTGACGATGCCGTACATGACCAGGACGTTGCCCAGCAGCCCCACCACGCACACCACGGAGTAGAGCGCAGTGATGACGATGGCGATGAGGATGGATGTAGCGTTCTTGGCCCGCTGCAGGCCCGTGTCGTTGACCCCGTGTCCGGGCAGGGGGGCCCAGGCGGTGCCGTTGCCCCAGGAGGTGGCAGTGGCCGTGGGCAGCCCCGAGGGCAGTTCCACGGGCACATCCATGGTCACATCCATGGGCAGCTCCATGGCCCGCGGGCGGCCGTGGCGCCGCTGGAGCCGCCGCGCGCATCCGAACCCCGCAGGTTCGAGCCCCGCTCCCGGCCGGTGCGGCCACCTCCTCCCGCACTCGCGCTGGGCCGGAGTGCTTTATAAACCCGCGTGTCCCCCAAGCCACGTGGGGCCGGGGGCGGCCCTGCTCGCCCGCCCGCCCCCTCGCCTGTCTGTATCCCTCCCGCTCCTCTGCTCCCCAGATCCCTGCCGGCTCTTCTCCCCCTTGTTGCCTACCTGTCCCCCCCGTCCCCGCCTTCCTCCACCTCGGTCGATGGCTGCCTTTCTCCGCTCGGCAGGTCCTTGTCTTCCCTCCACGGTCCCGTTTTCCCCGCATCCCTGCCTGCCTCGCCCCATGCCTCCATTCCTGCCTTTCTCCCCACGGTTCCCTCCTTGCGTCCCCCCTCTATTGCCTCCGCGGCCCCCCGCCCCAAGCCTGTCGCTTTCCCTCCCCATCCCTGCCAGCTTCCCCTCCCAGTTCTTGTCTTGTCAGTCCCTGCCTGAGCCCCGCTCTCCCCAGTCCCTTGCCTCTTTTCCCACCACCCAGTCCCTTACCTGCACCCCCTCCCTCATTCCTGCTTCTGCCTCCCCTCCCTCCCTGCCCTCCTAATCCCTGTCTCTCCTCCGGTCCCTGCCTGTCAGCCATCCCCGGAGCCCGCACGGGCCCCCAGCTGGAGGGGGAGCACGATGGATCCAGGCGCTCTGATTGTTCTAGGTTTTCTTTGTCTGTAGGAAAGCAGGGGGACAAGCAGCCCTCTTGTCCACAAAGCAAAGACGGGCGGTCTCCAGTTCTCCCTTGGCTTTGCTTTTTCTTCCTCTCCTTCACTCTCCCCACCATGTGTTGTGGGGTTGGGGGGTGCTGGATGAGTTTGGGGGTGCTGAGGAGGTCTGGGAGGATGTTGCAGGGGGATTAAGAGGGACATTGTGGGGTGGGGGAAGGAACTGGAGGGGTGCTGGGGTGAGAATGATGCTGAAATGCTGAAGAGGGATTTGTGGAGCAATGTTGGGGGCATTTAAGAGAAATGCTTGGAAGGCAGTAAGGAATGCTGGGGGTGCTAAAAAAGGTTTCTGGGGGACTTAGGAGGGATGCTGCTGCAGAATAAAGGATTTAGGGAGATGCTGCAGAGTGAAGGTGAAAATACAGATCCAGCAGCAGCACCTGCTTAGCAGAGCTGGGCTTTGTGAGGTGTTGAGGGTCACCCTCCCCTTTCCAAAGATCCTTTCCAGCCTTGGAGCAGGACTGCCTTTCTCTGGCGGGGCTCCCCCCTTTCAGGGACTGCAAAGCTGAGAGGCAGGAGCTTTATTTTTCCTGGAGCCCAAATGGAGGTGGAGGCTGTGGGTACACACACTTGGGGTGTCCCCATCTCCTATTTGCTTTGGGAATAGATTAATTCATTGCTCTGTGCCCTGGGACAGCACTGGCACAGAGAGAGGGGATGATTTGCTGCAATTTTGGGTACATTTGACTCCAGAGAGACTGACCAGGAGACACAGGACATGGAGTAGAGGCCAGCAGCTTGTTCAACCCTGGAGATAGGGCTTTCAGTTTGCGCAGAGCTCTACCAGTATCAAACTCCTGCAGTACTGAAGCATCCAGACATTTCACCAAGAGCCTCATAAAAACACCCAGAAGGGAATTAATGGCTTTTCAATCATCCCATGGTTCAGATGGTAACCATGGGATGAGAGCTCCAGGGCCTCTAAGCAGGGAGGCAGGAACAATGTGCTGTGTGTTTCTGTCCTCACAGTGTGAGGTGGCTGTGGTCCTGGCTGTGTCCCACAGGGCTGGTGGGATGGGTAAAGGCAGGAATTGGGAGCACAGGGATGGATTTAACATGCATATCTTGGTCCTGCCCTTTGGATGTATCAGCCTCCTTACCTGGAGGGGGTTCCCATTCCTGCAGTGCTTTCACAAGCCCAGGCAGGACAGAGGGGGATGTTCTGCACCTGTGTGTGGTCCAGAATACGGGATTTAAACACCTTCCTGGGTGAAAAGAGCCTCCAAGACCCAGAGTGAGGTGTTGAGCATCTGCTGTGCCCAGCTCTGGCGCAGGCTGGTTGCTGATCTCTCCCAGTGGGAAGGAAACATCAGGGTGGGGAGTGTGAAATAGCTTTTAGCATGGCTGAGGAGCTCTCTGGAAAAGAACTCATCCCTTTGCTTGACTCCCAGCATGGCCGGAGCCCCCACACTGACCCTTTTCCAATGGGCTATCTGCAAAGGATTAATCATGCTGGCAGGTTCCAGCAAACACGTCCTCTTGGCTCAGCTCCAACATTTCTTTAGAAATTTTTTTCAGCTGGAATGTTAAAAATAAACCCAGTGTACACATAAAACAAATGGAAAATATTTAAAGGGCTTTGGTGCTCATCTGCCTGCTCTCAGCTGTTGCTGCTCCAGCTGCCAAGCCTGGCTGCCACCATGAATGGAGTTCTGAAATTGGGGAAACTGAGGTACATTGGAGGGGAGAGCATCACCCTAATGCAGTCTGGTGGGTCTAGCAGGTCCTGACCCCCAGCACTGGTCCTGGGACTTCTGTCTGCATCCCGAGTTTGATCAATGCCACTTTGGCCACCCCGGGAGGGCAGTGAGGCCCTGGCTCAGGGTGCCCAGAGAAGCTGTGGCTGCTCCATCCCTAGGGGTGTCCAGGCTGGACAAGGCTTGGAGCAGCCTGGGATTGTGAAAGGTGTCCCTGCCATGGCAGGGGATGACAACTGGAGGGGCTTTAAGGTCCCTTCCAGCCTGAACCATTCTGTAATTCTGTGATCTTGGATCAAGTCCTGCTGTCTTGCAGGGATTTCTTCTCTTAGGAAGTTCTGTGTGGCAATGCCTTAGCTCTTATTTTCTCACTCACACCCTGAAAAATAAATAATATATCAAATTGAGATGGTGAGAGCAATGCTGAGGCTGTCGAGTAGCGCAATTCATGTTGCTCCTTTGCCTGGTGAGCTAAGGTCCATCCAAGGGGATTTACAGCTGGAGCCACTAATGGCAGTGTTTTGATTTACTCAGAGACTGAGAAATTGACAAAGTGTATTTCATGGTGAGAAGATGCTCTCCTCTGGAATTTATTGCTTTTAATCAAAATGGACATAAAAATAACATGCAAGAGTCATTAATCTGCTCTTGCTGGACTCCAGTCAAAATCCATGGGAACCTCCAGAGGTTAATGAAGGAGGAAGCAGGGGAGATGAATTCTTCATGAGGATTTTTGGAAATTCAGAAGGACACTGAGACTCCCTAACAGTACCATGGCTCTCACCTTGCCATGATGCTGTTAGGGAGAGCCTTGCACTGGATCTCTGGTGACACTGGGACGGCTGTGTCCTCTGCTGAGGTGGGGGCCAGGGCATTCTGCCCTGGTATAGAACTATGATAGAAATATAAAAGTATCTAAAATATAAATATATTAAAATATCTAGGCATTTCAGAGCTGTGATCCAGAGAGGGGAAACTGCATTTTTGATTCCCCCTTCATGGTGCCTATCTTCATAGAATCATGGAATGATTTGGGTAGAAAGGGACCTTAAAGCCCATCTAATTTCATACCGTGCCACTGGCAGGGACACCTTCCACTAGACCAGGTTCCTTCCTTCCTTCCTAGCCTCCTCTCCTCCCCCTGTGCTCCTGTCACCATTCTCCAGTGTCTGTTCCTACCCATCCCAACTCAGAAAACCAAGTAGTCAGCACAATGGGGGCACCAGGAAGGAGCTCAGCTTGTGGTGAACCACATTGCGGGGGCTCCATTGGCATCTAGCTTCCCTCATTTATAAGGATGACCCAGGACATGCACAGAATCACACCTTGGGGAATTGCAGCAGAAAATGTCACTTTGTTTTCTCTAGCTTTGAGGTGTTTTGGGGTTTGGGAGAGAATGGACCAGATGCTCATTGAGCATCAGCCCAACTGCACTGGTAACCACCGAGTTGCGAGTCCAGGCTGCTCCTCCATCTCCCCAGGGCTCATCACTTCCCCTCCCTCCACTGACAGCTCCAGATAAATCAGCCTTGAAGAGGAAAATGGGCTGATTTGTGTGTTTTGTTTTCCCATGTCAACATATCTGAGTGTTTTCATACCTTGCGGGGCAGCTGCTGCAAAGAACAAAGCCCATCCGTCAGGGGAGTTAAAATTAGATGAGATTCTTCTCTGCCTCACCATTCTGCGTGGCTGCATGTGAGCTGGGGGGTTTGCAGCATTGTTTCCTTGGCATTGTGTGTGGAGGGGCTGTCCCTCGGGGCCGGGTGTCTGCACACTGAGATGGCCAGAGTCGGAGCTGAGTCCAGAGGCTGGATGGAAAATCTCTGCTCACCACCTTGCAGGCAACAATCCCTCTCCCATAGGTTGGTGATATCTTGAGGGTGATGCCACCAGTATCCCAGAGATGTCCTTGAATATGAGAGGGGCTGTTCTCCTGTTAGGCTCAAGCTGGTGGCAGTGCCAGCCTGCCCAGGGCTGGGGGCAGCAAGGTTCCTTACAAACACAGGGTGAGTGCATCTGCTAGTTCATCTTCTTCCATGAAAAATGCCTCCAAAGTGATGATTATTTCATCAGAGGGGTTAATGAGCCCCTTTCCTTCACCCATCGCTGGCCTTGTGGCAGGGACAGCGATAGCGAATGGCTTGTGGGCACCAAGCTGTGCTGGCAGTGAAGGAAGGACGGCCATTTCACCCCATCCCTGGGGAACTCAGTCCCCACAGGAGCCTTTTTCCCTGATTATTGCTTATTTAGGTATTTTCACCACCCCACTGCCCCCTCTGTGCTGCCTTTGTCTGACAATGGAGCATTGACTGGGAACTGGCAGCATCTCCCTGGATTTTGGGGAGCTGGGAGCCGTAGCTGGGCCCCCCTCAGCTTTGTGCTCAGAGGTGGCAGAGCTGCTTCCATTCAATGCATTAGCAGCCTGTGAGTCATCTCAGAAATGAACCATCACAGGGAGCAGGGAAACACAGCAGCATGGAAAAAGAAAGGTTTTTGCTGCTGGTGGAAGGAATTGGTGTCAATGTGACCCCTGGGCTCCCGGAGGGGCTTTCAGGGTTTTTCTGGACAAGGAGCAGGTCCTTTGAGACTGAGACATGGGGACTCAGTGTCTTATTGCTTGGGGCTGGTTGTAACATGGGAACCAGGTGTCCTGGTGCCTCGGGCTGGTCGTGACATGACAGGTAGGACTGTTAGGTCTGGGTTTCCCAAGGGATAAGGTCTCTTTGTCTGTCTCCTGTGAGTCTGACAGGAGATTTACCAATGTCTGTCACTGTACCAAGAGGATGGGGGTTAGACCCATGCCAAATGTGGCTTAAACCCCCAGGGCCACCTATGACCACACTGATCATGGAGGAGGCAGGCTTCTTTCTCAGCATATAAATGTTACATTTTGTGCAGATTTTTAGCTCTGAGCCACAGTGTAGGGGAGATGGTGCTGCCATC